GAATCCTGTAACTGTCCACAACAGGTTCACATTGTAAAGAAACTGTAAATGTTACTGAACCATTTAACCTATACAGACACAGGTTACTTCAGATTTTCTTCGGCTTCGTCCTTTTCCTCCTACGTCTTGTTCGCTTAACGACCAAAATTTACGACATTTATTGGATTTATACTGCAAGTCGTGAAACCAGAAGTCACATCGTGCGTCATTTAAACATAAAATGCGTTAATATCACATTAAGAATATTGATATAATTTCCATTCTAAAATGAATCACTGGACATGACATGAAATATTTTACAAGCCACTGAAACCAGCTTATATAAACTATTAAAATCCAAAAACGGACTATAGTCAGATGTTCTTAATTTCTGTATTTATTTTACAATTACAAATTTGTCTGTCAATACAGCCATAAGTCTACTTCAATTGTAAGTCTGTGAGAATCCAAAGACATACACGGGAGTGCGGGAGTACAATTAATTCTACACACTCTGTCCAGCAGGGATTGTGTTCTGAAACTGACAGAAGTGATTTGTGTGGATAGTAGATCCTAGTGTCTTTCAATATAAGCTTGCAACACGAACAGCAAAAATACTCTCTGAAACAGCACTGCAGATTTCTCTGTATGAACACGTTAACTGTTACTTCAATGTATTACTGCCCATAGTGACATACTGGAAATGCTACTGTCAGCTTGTTGTTTCTACTCAAGCATTCTTCAGCTTCTTCTCCTCCGTTTTAGGAGTCGTTCAGTTGAATAAGCATTGTCATGAATCTATAAGAAGCATTCACCAACTGAAAGAGATTAGGAACGTATACATTACATTCACGATACAAGATTACATGGAGAATATATCTGAAGTTCTGACAATACGACGTTAGACCATGAAGACTAAATTTAAGTGAGGACAGACATTCCCGGCCGCTTTAGCTACGGCGAAACCCCTGGGTATTCTTTGGCTAGGTCCAGAGTAGTAATTGTGATACTGAAATTGTGAATAATTGTACTTGCTAGCGTATACGAGATTGACCAATAAACAGATTCGCTAAATACGAGACCCGCGGGAACCTCCTTGTCGCGTTACATCCGAAACATGCGACAGTACGTACATACTGTATACATATCACGTTGAATAAACTTCCTCTTTAAAAGTCACATGACTGGGAGTAATAATTTGGCCGAAATATCCCTAGTCACATGTGACATTATTAGCATTCTCAACATTGAAAAATATTAATAATTAATTTTAAGAAATGAAGATATGCTTAAGAAGATATACCTTAAATGAGTACTAAATACTCCCACATGTTTCATTCAACTCAGCAAAGTTCCCTGCAAACAAGGCCACCTACCGAAGCCAGAGTTAGGAAAGACATGTCAAAGAAAACTCCAGCCTTCACGGTCACCGGTCTTGAGGCCCTCATGATGGCCAGAGGCAGCAGACTTTTGTATCCCGCTGTCTGGCTGTACCATTCAGTGCTATAGAACGCCAGCTGCACCTTCTCACTCTGAAAACAGTTACAATATTCATTTATATTCTTATATACTTATTTAGAATGAAATGTCTTACAGTTTACAACATATAGTTCTGCACCTCATTTAATTAAATTGAGGCTGAAATATAATAAACGCTACAAAACTCCTGCAGAATGACGACGCCACAAGAAGAGAACAGGAAGCTCTAGGCGTTGTGTAGGGCAGATGAACACAGCTGAACTAACCTCGTCAATTACTTGCTGACCAAACCAGCAATATGTCGTTATTAAAACTATGGATGCAATGAACAGAGATGCGAACTTGAGGAACTGGTTCTGGTCCCCGTAATTCTGAAACAGAGAGAGAGAATATCACAAGATAAGCAAAGTCTAGTTGCTGATGATGATATAAGCCCTGTAACCCCAGACAAATTAGTCGGTGACTAGTCCAAATGCTTCTAAATCTAAGAAATGGGGTTCAGTTCTCGAGAAATAGCGAGACGTTCTCTACTTCACAGTGGTCACAAGGGGCTCCTGAATAGACGCTCACATATCCAGCAGGAACAAGGGTAGTTCCCCTTAAAACATATTGCTCGGAGGGTGAAGCTGCTCACTCGATTCAACGTAGCCTCAAGGGAGAATGACTGCATGTATCTTCAATCCTCCATACGCCTTCACGAAGTGATGCTTAGCTAGGAGCAGGGAAAAATTTCCTTTCATACAAATTCTATTTTGGTTACACTTTTGCTGGGATTCCCGGAGAATAATGAAGGTTCATTATAAAGAAAGGAATTACAGGACAGATTCTGTAATTCATTCCTAAATTAAGAGAAATGCTGTTGACAGGATCCGGTAGAAGTTAACTCCTTCCGAAATATATGGCAGTTGAGAACAGTAATATTGACGTCTTCATATTAAGCAGAAATAGAATGTCCCAGAGGGACTGATACTGTAACATCCAAATATATTAACATTTCCTCCTGAGACACTCTGTGTAACATCTGTACTCAGTTCCATCTAAATTATGGTATCTACATACAAGTGGAACCATTTTGTGATGTACGAAATATGAAATTACCTGCATCATCTGGAATCCTGTCATGCACAGCAGCAGTGGGAAGTTGAGTACCTTCAGGAACGTAACTAAACTCACGATCTTGTTGAGATGATCGACGAACCTGCGATATATGAAAATCGTTTGTTTCGTAGCAGCACATGAGACGGCAAGTGGATCTATATTCATCGAAACTTCATTAAACTTACGAAAACTCGAAGTATGAGATGGGAAGCTTTGCAGCACGCACGGGGAGATGAGAATCGCGTAAAATATTTTTGTCGGAAAAAGTGAGGGGAAGGGACATCTTCGTAAATCGAGGCGTCTGCAGGAGTATAAAGTTAATAATGATGCCTGAATGATAGGAGAGAATGTGAATGGGTTTTACCTTCCTCAGGAAGATCAACTTTCTTGTGAAGACGCCGAAATCTTTGTTACAGCTTCTTTGTCATAAAAATGCACTGTATCCATACCAGTCTCGTACAAACGGGATGAATAAAGACGAAAACCAGTCTCAGTGCACGTGTGTTTATTCTTTCCTCAATATAATTTTTTGTGATTTTAAATCCTCTCTTATTCGTCGTCAAGTGACGTAATAATGATTGATTTATTGAAAAGATTAAGGAAGCGATCGTGGCCTGAACACAATTTACCGATTTTTCTTGAAAAGGCAGGAAACTCTGGGAAAGTCTCAGTTAAGAAAATCAGTCTGTGAGCGTAAGCTCTTCAGTACTACGCGGAATTGCTACACGCTGCGTTTGAGCACACACACTGGAAATATAACGCTATGCGTGTGTGCGTTTGAGATCTGGAATACGGTAACTTACTCGATTATAGCTTGGTGATGTTTGATGCATTCAGCAAGGTACAGCTGGAACGGATCTTTGTTCACGTGACAGTTTTCTAGAACCGCCATCTCAGAATTGCGGCTTCCAGAATTTCCACTCCCCAATTCGTAACATGTGATATCATCTGCTGAAGTCACGGGGTCATTCATAAGATTGAAGTCTGCAATATCTTGCAACGGGAACATTTGCTTTGTTCTGTTCAACTCAACTTCAGAGACATTCTCATGCATGTCATTCAGCATTGCACATAAAACCTTGAACTGAGCAGCTGCATGACTCATCAGAGACAGAAATAATATATCAACGGCAAAAAGCATCAATCCTGAAAAAGTTGAAGCAAACATCTGCGACACCATGATTAATTCAAACTGAGGTGAATCGTAAATTTCAAAAGGGGCCCATATAACGAATATGAATCGTTCAAAATCGTGTGCTTCTGTGGTAGCGTTATTTCTTTCGTAATTATAAATTTTAATTATTGGTTTTGCAACCCAAATGGCAGCACATTCCGCAGAAATGATAACTGAAAGTATTAGAAATCCTTTAACTTGACGTTCGGCGGTGTGAATTAATTCGATGTACTTAGATTTCATTCGGGAAACAAACTGAGTTCTCAATAAATCTATGAGGCTCATGAATTTATCTTTGCTGTGAAGAAAATATGCGCAAGAAATGCTTGCTAGAATCATGCCACTCATGTGACTTACTATGATGGAAATTAGTGGAATGTCTCCCCAGTTGACATATACTGCCATCAGCTGCCCTAACATCGAAAATATTAATAATGTAAAAATCAATGTCTGAAATATTTTGTACAAAAATCTTATGAACGGCGTTGCATTGTTGGGCGGAAGAATGCCAAATATATGAAGTAGGAAATTCGAAGTCATGATCTGTACTTTGTTTACAGAAAATTCTCCATCATTATTTAATTTTGGTCTTCCTTCAGGGGTTTCACTGTGTTTTTTCTTCGGTGTGATCATCCCTCTGCAAAATCTGGAGCAACGCCTGTTAACAGAAGTATTTAATTGTTGGTTGACAATTATGTGTAATTTTAGAATATACTACAATTTGTCTAAATATGAATAGATTTTAACGAGTAAGATATATAAAAAAATTGTTTCCAAATATCAAAAGTGGTTCCTATTCTCTAGGAGAAATTCCAGAAAATATTCCATAAGATACATTTTGATATTACTCCCTCATATACGTCTACATCTTGCAAATATTCTCTCCGACCAGAATTGTGTGAGTGTTTCTCTCTCTCATTAGTGCAGACATCACATATGTTCGGTTTTTCATGTTTCCTCAGGGTAATAACATATAATAAAAGTAAAAAAAGTTAATTAATCTGTACACACAAAGAACCAGGTTGTCCTACTTTCTCTTACTTTCTATTACACATCATGGCCAAATATATTTCTCAGGGTCCTGTCCCCAGGTATCACTATTCTGTGTTTTCCTCTTTAGGTAATATTCCACGTTTCCCACCCATAAAGATCACAAATTGTAGGTCTAAATATTATAATCTTTACGTCACGGATTCTGAGCAAGAATTCCTTAATTTGATCTCATGTTAAGTGATGCAAACTGACCAAGAAACACTAACAGCGAATATACCCATGACACGCAATACACGCAGATACGAATGTCAGTATGTTACCTTAGTGCTCTCCGTCTCTCTGTGAATGCGATATTTCTGTAGGCGGGCAGTGGAGTCACACAACTTGTCTCCTCTTCTCCCTTCAAAGGAGTGTCTTGCATTCGCTGGGAGAATCATATTCGCTTCTTACGTAACCGCATCTCTGAAACTTTTTGACGTCAAAAGACAGAAGTGTGAATAAATGTTTCAGACATGAAGGAGCGCGCATAATTACTGAGTTCTAAGACAATTTCTTTTTCACTTTGTCATGTACGTAGCATACATGAGGAAGTACTGTATATGGTAAAAAAGAAGATCGATCCCGAAATATTGACGGATTTACATGTTTCCGGAAGCCCTGAATAAAAGAAAGGGGCGTTTCTGGAACGCGTCTGCCATTCGAAGTGCCTGTATGTTTTTGTGGATATGCACCGCGCATGCGCCGAACGGCTGGAATGAATTCATTCATATTCGGTGCTGGAATATGTGTACGTCATAGGGCGGTGTTGGAAACATTGAATGAGCTAGTTCCAAAATTAAGTGCAATTAAAATGGGCCTCTCACAACTGTTATCTCTGAAACGTCTGTCACGAAATTCATTGCTCTTTGGAAATTTATGTGCGCGTGAGAAATCTGGTCTTTCGAATTTGAAGGCATACCGACCGAGCGACTGCCGCTTGTCGCCGAAGTTAGTGATAACTTTAGTAGGTAGAGGGTGTCAGGTGGTCAGCGCAACCGGTCCCCACAACCAGAGCTGCTATTTCTTTGAAATAGCTCCTCAATTATCGTCACGAGGCAGAGTATATATGCCATGTACAGTAAATGTGTGTGTCGGTGTCACATGCTACATGAAAATATTCAGCAAAGTAAAGTTTTGTATAGAAATATGTCTAGCAATGTCCGTTTTCCGAAGAATATAAATACAAAATTTGGGTAACTGGTTTGACTCCCAGATTATATTTGCCATTTCATTGGTAGACTTGCTTTTGCTTTTCAAATTTCTTGTATCAGTAGTGACGGCGGGGTTCAAATGGGATGTGCAAAGTATACACAGTAAACTAAACAGCGACAATTGACGAACGGAATTATAAAGCTAAATTACATGCTAAGATACACTCGTAGTTACTTATTCTGGCACGCTCATATATTTTCAATACATATATAGATAATCTAAAAATATATTTATACTCTCATGTCAAACTGTTCTTAAATATATAAAATTACAATTCAGGCATTACAACGAGGTATGACAACAAAGCTCGCGAACTCGCCACCGTTGTGCTTGCCACGGCAACAGTGGAGAGAAATCTCAGTATGGTGTGATGACCTTGGCATATCGGCGTATCACAGCTGTGTTGTTGTTGATCTAAGACAGTCGCCTTCTGAGTGGCGTCTGTTAATGTCTGGGTAAGTTTTGGTGTCTTGCATCACGACACGGCGCTTGCTCACACGGCACTGCTGTGAGGACGAAAATAAAGGAAATACTGAAAGAAAGGCATTTTGATGACGTTGGGAGTAACAAGACGACATGCTGACCGTGTGTACACGATATATACTTACGTATATCAAGCACTAACACATCTACATAGTAGTATCAGAGAGGAACTTCAGGTAAATTCCAATATAGGCATCATCGCCTCCTTCCAAATGCTTTGCAATTCATGATTCATCTGTCATCTTACCATTAGATGCTATATAGTCTAGTTATTAAGTGATCAAGGAAGTAACAACAAAAAAAAACAGGGAAGTGGCAAAATATGTATCACTGTCATTAAGGCGAATTAAACCAGATTTATTGACCTTAGATATTAATGATGAAGATGGATCCCTATTAATAGAAAATAGGTCCTGACTTGTGTTTCGCTTCCTAGTCGTCTATGTGCAACGTTGGTTAATATCCTTTGTCGCTTTCTCTTTATTATCACTACACGTTTCGGCCTCTTAACATGTCATCATCAGAGTATTAACCGACGTTGCACATAGGAGGCAGGGAACCGGAACTGGCAGTGTAACAGGATGCTGCAATTAAATTTTAGGAAAACGAATGCTTCAAGGGCAATAAATTAGATTTACCAATAGAATTTAAGATCGAAATATTTCGTTAAATCTGTGTTATGTTACACTACAATTATTCATTAAACAGTCTATAGTCCCGTGCCACACATACAATATAATTAGTGAAACTGTCAACTAAGGCATTCTATTTTCTAGAAATTATTATAATTATGACGATAAACAATGCTAACACTGAATATATTTTATTCCGTTTTAATAATGTATTATAGTAATTACGTCATTCTTAATAAATCTATATCAATAAAATGTAATCATAAAGGAAGATAATTCCAGGGCATAGAACTGAATCCTGTAACTGTCCACAACAAGTTCACATTGCAAAGAAACTGCAAATGTTACTGAACCATTTAACCTATACAGACACAGGTTACTTCATATTTTCTTCGGCTTCGTCCTTTTCCTCCTACGTCTTGTTAACTTAACGACCAAAATTTACGTCATTTATTGGATTTATACTGCAAGTCGTGAAACCAGAAGTCACGTCGTGCGTCATTTAAATATAAAATGCGTTAATATCACATTAAGAATATTTATATAATTTCCATTCTAAAATGAATCACTTGACATGACATAAAACATTTTACAAGCTACTGAAACCACCTTATGTAAACTATTTAAATCCAGAAACGTATTATAGTCAGATGTTCTTAATTTCTGTATTTATTTTACAATTACAAATTTGTCTGTCAATACAGCCATAAGTCTACTTCAATTGTAAGTCTGTGAGAATCCAAAGACATACACGGGAGTGCGGGAATACAATTAATTGTACACGCTCTGTCCAGGTGGAACTGTGTTCTGAAACTGACAGAAGTGATTTGTGTGAATAGTAGTGATATTAACATAAGCATGCAACACGAACACCAAGAATACTCTCTGAAACAGCACTGCAAATTTCTCTGTATGAATACGTTAACTGCTACTTCAATGTATTACTGCCCATAGTGACATACTGGAAATGCTACTGTCAGCTTATTGTTTCTACTCAAGCATTCTTCAGCTTCTTCTCCTCGGTTTTAGGAGTCGTTCAGTTGAATAAGCATTGTCATGAATCTATAAGAAGCATTCACCAACTGAAACAGATTAGGAACGTATACATTACATTCACAATATAAGATTACACGGAGAATATATCTGAAGTTCTGATAATACGAGACAATCTCGCCCTCTTTAGCTACGGGGAACCCCCTGGGCATCCATCGGCTAGGCTTGGCCAGGCCCAGAGAAGATATTGACTCTGCAGAGGAGAGAATATCATCTGCTAGAGCCCCTAATCGAACCACGACTCCCCGATTGTGCAGCCTGTGGCCCAGTCAGCCCCCACCCCCTCAAACAACCTTCACAATGTCAAGTACGCGTATTATTCATTTCGAACTGATTATTTTAACTTTTACGTTCTGCGCTGGAGGCTTCAAGTCACTTTCTTACAGAGCTCTGCCTGAAAGCGGGGCGGTGACCTGGTGCTCATACTAACCTAATATAGATATATAAAGGTTAAAATTTTAAAAAGTGATAAATTAACTTCCTTACACTGCAATCAGTGGGCGCTGAGCCATATACAAGGCCTCAGCTTAAACACAAGCTTCCCCGTGCTCGGTTATGTAGCCAACATGCCGATACACACCGTTTCTGTATAATTATACATACGTATACTGTTTACATATTACGCTGAATAAACTTCCTCTTTAAAAGTCACATGACTGGGAGTAATAATTTGGCCGAAATATCCCTAGTCACATGCGAAATTATTAGCATTCCCAATATTGAAAAATATTAATAATTAATTTTAAGAAATGAAGATATGCTTAAGAAGATATACCTTAAATGAGTACTAAATACTCCCACATGTTTCATTCAACTCAGCAAAGTTCCCTGCAAACAAGGCCACCTACCGAAGCCAGAGTTAGGAAAGACATGTCAAAGAAAACTCCAGCCTTCACGGTCACCGGTCTTGAGGCCCTCATGATGGCCAGAGGCAGCAGACTTTTGTATCCCGCTGTCTGGCTGTACCATTCAGTGCTATAGAACGCCAGCTGCACCTTCTCACTCTGAAAACAGTTGCAATATTCATTTATATTCTTATATACTTATTTAGAATGAAATGTCTTACAGTTTACAACATATGGTTCTGCATCTCATTTAATTAAATTGAGGCCGAAATATAATAAATGTTACAAAACTACCGCAGAATGACGACGCCACAAGAAGAGAATAGGAAGCTCTAGGCTTTGTGTACGGCACACAGACACAGCTGATGGAACTAACCTCGTCAATTACTTGCTGACCAAACCAGCAATATCCCGCAATTAAAAATATGGATCCAATGAACAGAGATGCGAACTTGAGGAACTGGTTCTGGTCCCCGTAATTCTGAAACGGAGAGAGAATATCACAAGCTAAAACAAAAAACAAACTGCGTGGCCTGTAGCCTGCAAGCTAACTATACCGACCGAGCGACCGCCGCTTGTCGGCGAAATTAGTGCCAAATTTAGCGGATAGAGGGTGTCGCGTGGTCAGCGCAACGGATCCCCACGGCCTTCTAGACCGGAGCAGCTATTTCCTTGAAACAGATCCTCAATTATCCTCACGAGGCTGAGTGGACCACGTTCCAGAGCCATTACTTCTCATAAAATCTGGTAGCGTCGGGAATCGAATACGGGACCTATGGATCTGTAGCCAGGAACTCTGACCACAGGACCACAGAGGAAAAATTTAAATGCTTCTGCCGATATAAACCCTGTAACCCCAGATAGATTATTCGGTGAGTAGTCTGAACGCTTCGAAATCTGAGAACCGGGGTTCGATTCTCGAGAAATAGTGAGACGTTCCCTACTTCACAATGTACGGGAGGGGCTCCGCAATAGACGCTGAACGATTCAGTAGTTACAATGGTAGTACCCCTTAAAACATATTGCTCACCCGCTTCGACGTTTTCTCGAGAGACTGCACGTATCTGCAGTCCCCCAGACGACTTCATGGAGAATGGTATGCGTTAGGACAACACCATCACAGTCGTACACGAGAATCACCATAACTTTAATATTGCTGGGGTTCTGACGAACTTTTGATTTTCGTGGTGACCCGTAATGACGCCATTCGTTCGGTTGGAGTTTCATTTGTGACTCGTGCGATTTGGCCCATGTCTCATCCAGCGTAATGACACGGCATAAGAAAGCTTCTCCTTCGTGCTTACAGCGCTCCGAGTGGTTACGAGTAGCGTCGTATCGTAGCCATTTCTGCATTTCCGTCAAATCAAGTGGAACCCATAGTGATGTAATTTTTCTCATGCCCAAGTGTTCCTTCAGAATGGAAGCACAGTCATATGCGCTAATCCTGTCTCTCGTGCCAGCTCACGAATCGTATGGCGTCGATCGCCCTCCAGTAAGGCGGAAAAAGCAGACACTAGGACGACCTGGCCGACGCATGTCTGCCACATTTTGGCTTCTCTCGTTGAAGACTTTCACCAACTTTGCCACTGTTCTGTCAGGCAATGCAGATTCCCCGCAAGCCTCTTGAAGACCTTGATGACACTGTCGTGCTGTACAGCCTCTGGCACATTCAATCTTTATCCAACTCCGTTGTTCCTGTTGCGAAAACATCGTGACAACACTACATTAGACCGCCAGCTAACACGAGGCTCTGTTCTTCTCTTCACTGCGCATGTGCGTGATGTGGGAAGGTTGAGTCCATTTGCTCTGAGGTAAGGTGGGAATGTCATAAACGTGTGGTATATGTGACGTTATTTGGTTCCGTTGCATGGTGGCTCTACAGCAGTGTTGCCACTACTAAAGTTCCAACCCTGGTATATGGAAGTTGAGAACAGTAATATTGACGTCTTCATGTTAAGAATATACAAAATGTCTCAGGAGGAAAGTCATAGTATCGGTCATTCTAAGCAGAAAACTGTACATGTACATGTGTCCTGTTCCTAACGGTTTCCGAGATGGAGCTATTTCACTGTACAGTTCACTGTACACTGTACAGACGAGCAACACGTCATGTCCTCACACGAGCTGCACCGAGATAGAGCTATTTCACTGTGCAGTGCACTGTACACTGCGCATACGAGCAGTACGCCATGTCCTCACACGAGTTGCACCGAGATAGAGCTGTTTCACTGCACAGTACACTGTACACTGTACAGACGAGCAACAGGCCATGTCCTCACACGAGTTGCAAAGTGCACTGATGCTGACAATGGAATTTTCGAAAATGTAAACTAGGTAAACTGCACCACCTTTATCACTTTAACAGTAAATACCGGTATTAGAAAGAATACGTAATGTCTCTTTCTTATCAACAGTTTTGGGAGTGTACACTGAAATAACTATTTCGGAAACCGTTCCGAAAGGACACATGTACATATACAGATTTTGGCTCTGAATGACTGATACTGTGACCTCCCAGAATATTGAGCTTTCCTCCCGAGACACTTTGTATATCAAGATTTATGCTCAGTTATATCTTAATTATGGGCTCTGTTTCTTGGGTACAAAAAGATATATACACACAAGGTGATGTACGAAATATGAAATTACCTGCATCATCTGGAATCCTGTCATGCACAGCAGCAGTGGGAAGTTGAGTACCTTCAGGAACGTGACTAAACTCACGATCTTGTTGAGATGATCGACGAACCTGCGATATATGAAAATCGTTTGTTTCGTAGCAGCACATGAGAGGGCAAGTGGATCTATATTCATCGAAACTTCATTAAACTTACGAAAACTCGAAGTATGAGATGGGAAGCTTTGCAGCACGCACGGGGAGATGAGAATCGCGTAAAATATTTTTGTCGGAAAAAGTGAGGGGAAGGGACATCTTCGTAAATCGAGGCGTCTGCAGGAGTATAAAGTTAATAATGATGCCTGAATGATAGGAGAGAATGTGAATGGGTTTTACCTTCCTCAGGAAGATCAACTTTCTTGTGAAGACGCCGAAATCTTTGTTACAGCTTCTTTGTCATAAAACTGCACTGTATCCATACCAGTCTCGTACAAACGGGATGAATAAAGACGAAAACCAGTCTCAGTGCACGTGTGTTTATTCTTTCCTCAATATAATTTTTTGTGATTTTAAATCCTCTCTTATTCGGCGTCAAGTGACGTAATAATGATTGATTTATTGAAAAGATTAAGGAAGCGATCGTGGCCTGAACACAATTTACCGAATTTTCTTGAAAAGGCAGGAAACTCTGGGAAAGTCTCAGTTAAGAAAATCAGTATGTGAGCGTAAGCTCTTCAGTACTACGCGGAATTGCTACACGCTGCGTTTGAGCACACACACTGGAAATATAACGCTATGCGTGTGTGCGTTTGAGATCTGGAATACGGTAACTTACTCGATTATAGCTTGGTGATGTTTGATGCATTCAGCAAGGTACAGCTGGAACGGATCTTTGTTCACGTGACAGTTTTCTAGAACCGCCATCTCAGAATTGCGGCTTCCAGAATTTCCACTCCCCAATTCGTGACATGTGATATCATCTGCTGAAGTCACGGGGTCATTCATAAGATTGAAGTCTGCAATATCTTGCAAAGGGGACATTTGCTTTGTTCTGTTCAACTCAACTTCAGAGACATTCTCATGCATGTCATTCAGCATTGCATATAAAACCTTGAATTGAGCAGCTGCATGACTCATCAGAGACAGAAATAATATATCAACGGCAAAAAGCGTCAATGCTGAAAAACTTGAGGCAAACATCTGCGACACCATGATTAATTCAAACCGAGGTGAATCGTAAATCTCAAAAGGGGCCCATATAACGAATATGAATCGTTCAAAATCGTGTACTTCTGTGGTAACGTTATTTCTTTCGTAATTACAAATTTTAATTAATGGTTTTGCAACCCAAATGGCACCACATTGCACAGTAACAATAACTAAAATTATTAGATACACTTTAACTTGACGTTCGGCGGTGTGAATTAATTCGATGTACTTAGATTTCATTCGGGAAACAAACTGAGTTCTCAATAAATCTATGAGGCTCATGAATTTATCTTTGCTGTGAAGAAAATATGCGCAAGAAATGCTTGCTAGAATCATGCCACTCATGTGACTTACTATGATGGAAATTAGTGGAATGTCTCCCCAGTTGACATATACTGCCATCAGCTGCCCTAACAACGAAACAATAAATAATGTAAAAATCAATGTCTGAAATACTTTGTATAGCAATCTTACGAACGGCGCTGCATTGTCTGGTGGAACAAGACCAGACATATTAAGCAAGAAGAGGAAATTCATGATCCGTATTTTGTTCAAAGAGATCTCTTTTGTGTTATTCAATGCCGCTTTTCTTTTCGAAGTTCGAATCTGTTTCATCGTAATCCGTTTCACCTTTCTGGAGAAGTTGGGACAAAACCTGTTGATAAAAATTATTTATTATTTGTTTGCAATTAATTAATATATAATTATACGAAACTTTCAGTAATCATAGCCGCATGCGAAGGGGTATCTACTTTAGTAAATATTTTTTTCAATGTCCGCAACTGGATTTCGTCCTAAGGGAGAATAATCCACCCTACAATCCTCACAACCTACATTTCTGAGACAATTTTTAATATAATATAATATAATAATATTTTCCTCCCATCTACGACTGGTCTTTCAATAATGTTTGAGCATAATACGAGTATACTTAACGTATTGCCTCTGTCTTCAGGGTAGAAAAATCCTGTGAGCGAGGAACCAGATTGAGCTGATACTGCAGACTGAGTCACCAGTCGAAAAACACACTATAAGCTGCGTGTTTCTCGACTGGTGACTCAGTCTGCAGCCACCTGCTCGAGCTGGTTCGTTGCTCGCCAATTTTTCTACCCTGAAGATGGTAGCGATACGTTCCTCCGAAACGCCAGTTTACACAAGATCTAAATGGCTCCACATCCCACATGACGGCATCCCTCCCTAAGTAAATTTGTACATTTAATCAAATATTATTAGTGTCATCAAGCGACGGAGGATACTGTTATTTTCGGCGATTGCACTCGTGGAAAATAAGAAATTTAGACAAAATTCTGATCGAAATGACAGAAGAGATCACCGCTCGCTTCTATTATGAAGATCAATTATGAAACAAGGGCGAAACACATGACCTGTATGCATGTATATATGTATGAATTATATATGTATGTGGGGCAAACGGTAGCGTAGTTGGTTGAGGCACTATGCTACAAGCAGGAAGGTCGCGGATTCAAACCCCGATGAGGTCACTGATTTTTTTTTTAATTTACTTAATCCTTCCAGCCGCACTATGTCCTAGGGTCGACTCAGCCTCTAACAGAAATGAGGACCAGGAATATTCTTGGGGGTAAAGGGCGGACGGCGCGTAAGGCTGACAACCTTGCCGCCATCTGTGATCCGATTGTCTAGAAAATGTGGGAACCTCAACATCTCACAACCCTATGGGCCTCCACGGCCTGTTACAGGGATAGCTTTACTTAGTTTTATGTGTGAAATCCCGCAAGATATTATTTTCGCAACCGATTCTTCCGTTATATAATTATTATGTCCATAACTGTACATTGTCTCAGGAATGTTGAATACAAAATGGTTTCTGTAGTTGTTGCATCAATGTCATTTTATTGACAGATTTATTTCTGCAGTTTATAATCTTCTTATTAGCAGAAACAGTCGGAATGAATTAGAATGATACAGTTAGACTGCAAAGTTATGTCATGTACAACTTCCAGGGGTATTCGTCAAAATAATGTACAAATGGCATTATGATATCCATGCTCAAACATTTATTACGATAAGGTAAAGAGCGTTACGCATCAATTCAAGTAGGCTGAAAATGCATTTGCACTCTTACGTAAAAATTACTCTAAGTAACTTAATACGTAGCCTTAGAAGTTAATGCGAGAGCAAACTTCGTTTAATTACAATAAAGGTTATAGCACTGCTGTAATTTTAGCTTCTGTCCTGAAAAACAATTTTGTATGTTGAATATACAGAATAGAAAATGAATTAATATCCTTAGCAACTTCATGTATATTACTTCCGGAAACCACAGGAGCTAAGAGAAATTTGTATAGTGGCCGAAATATTATTTGTTTTTCGTCACAATTTCTTATCCCAAACTTCTCTCATCCTCATAAATATTCGTAAATATTTGTACTCGGAAAACCGAAGTATACAGTAGCACAAAGAGTAAAACTGTTATTCTCAGATTTTAATATCATATTGAAATACGAAAATAACCAAGTAAGTGAACAGTCACCTCCCGAAACGTCGAGTATATTATTTTTATTCTTGGATTTGTAAAGCCGCTCTCTATACCTCACATTATTCAGCGTTGAATGACGTACTGACTAAAACAAAAAAGGAAACAAACTCCGTGGTTCTAGTTCGCAAGAGAAACTCTACCGACCGAGTGACTGCCGCTTGTCGGCGAAGTTAGTGCCAACTTTAGCGGACAGAGGGTGTTGCGTGGTCAGGGCAACGAATTTCCACGGCCGTTAATTCCAGTTTTCTAGACCGGAGCCACTATTTCCTTGAAATAGCTCCTCAATTATCCTCACGAGGCTGAGTGGACCCCGTTCCAGACCAAATACTTCTCAGAGAATCGTGTAGCGCCGGGAATCGAACCCGGGTCCTCTGGATCTGTAGCCGAGAACTCTGACCATTAGACCACAGAAGAGATCTGATGTGTTGAATAGTGAATAACAAATTGGAATGTACGTTAAAATGAATCAGTACTAACCTAATTTGGCATACTATCCTACTAAATACCTTTAGGAAAAGGGGAAATTCACTAAAATCCTTAGTCAGGATTCCCCTACCGATATTCGAACCAACCATTTCTGAGATATTAATCACTTGAGCCGAAATGCTCGGAGTGTTTTTCCGTATATATTTACCAAAATTGTTCTTTCTTCAATCTTTAATATCTGTTCCTGGACAATTTAACTCTGTTCTGATGGATTCCTTTTGCAGATTCTTCGATATAATCTAGAAGAAAAATTGTATACAACTGCAATAAACAGAAAAATAGGTCATCTCACCGTAATATTCTTAAGCCAAGTGATTGTATGTCTCCTTCATACTTATCTGTAGGTGTAGAGTTTCGTTCAAATAAATGCCTTAAGATAGTTATATCTCGTGCTTACTTATTATGTAAGAGGACTCAACAAAATTTTGTAACGTCTTCAGTAGAATGGGCGGTTTAGGTAGCAGTCTGCATATGAAACGAACTTACGATTAAATATGTATGACATTTCGTTGGAGTACTGAAACACCTGCTGACAAGAGCCATAGGCCCACGTTTTAATTTATGGTATTGAGGACACACCTACAGATCTGTAACAGTATCATAACGTATAGTTTACGTAATTTTGTGGGATTATATTAATGTTTCCATTTTTAAGGCTTACGAGAGTCGTCTTTGAAATTATGCTATATTTTTGTTGTTTCGACGCACGGTATATATCGAAATTCGTAAAGTACATTATTTCGTGCTACAAAATTCTAAATTGGCCATTAGCTTAGATATGCTTTCCACTACTGGTTTTAAAAGTCCCCCATTCATGGCTCCGCTACGTAACTATTCAACCGTAATAAATTCAGTATATAAATATACAAGCCTGAAGGTCGTGGGATCGAATCCCGATAAAGTGGATTTTTTTTAATTGACCTAATCCTTCCAGCCGTACTGTGTCCCTCGGTTCGACTCAGCCCCTAACAGAAATGAGTACCAAGAATATTCCTGGGAGTAAAGTGCGGGCGGCGCGTAAGGCTGACAATCTCACCGCCAACTGTGGGCCGAATGTCTAGAAAATGTGGGGACCTCAACATCTCACAACCCTATGGGACTTCACGGCCTGTTACAAGGATAGGTTTACTTTTTACTTTTACTTAAATATACATATCACAAAATTTCTATATAATCTATTACAGTGGGTTCACAGCGCCTTGAGGTTATATTTTTTGACGAAGTTTCTTTTTTTTTCGTATATGCACAGAAATTGTGTTGGATATCTCATGAGGTGGGCATGGAATGTACCATCTTCTGAGAATTGTACTTGCATAGAAATTGTGTTGGATATCTCAGGAGGTGAGCATGGAATATACCACCTTCTGAGAATTATATTTGCACAGAAATTATGTTGGATATCTCAGGAGGTGAGCACGAAATGTATCACCTTCTGGGAATTGTACTTGCATAGAAATTGTGTTGGATATCTCAGGTGATCATGGTCTGTACCACCTTCTGAGAATTGTATTTGCATAGAAATTGAGTTGGGTTTCATAGAGATGGGAATATGGAATATATTAAATTCTATCATGTGACGCCGTTCATTCCGGTAAAACTTAACTGACTTTTCGGAAGAAGTTACTGTCTGCATTATCAGGGTCAATAGTAGGTCAAGTAACCTGAAGACTGAGCAATTACGACCCTCTGAAACGTCGATTAATTTCCTCCAAACTAGATGGCGTCGCTTTATAGAAGACAATACTCTGCATTGCACAGAGGTGTCGCCTCCACACATATTACATTCAACGATTTCCCGTTAGTTTTAACGTGCTCTTTTTTTTTTCTTTACAAATACCTTCCAAACAGAGTATAGTCCCGTGCCCCATGTACACTATAATTACTGCCGTTTTCAACCCAGTCGTTCTGCTTTGTATACATCATTATAATTATGACGTCAGGGAACACTGGCACGAAAGGTAACTTATTTAATACTAATAATGGCTTTTACGTATTGCCTCGTACTTTGTGGTTCTTTATCGATGAAAACTTTACGCACATACAAAGAGAATTCAAGGAACTAATACTGAATCTTATAAATATTTATAACACGTCCACATTATAATACATGTGAGAATTATTGGAATATTTAACCCTCTCAGACTCAAATTATTTTCTTATCTTCTCCTTGAACTTCCTCATCTTCCTTCCTTTCTTCTTCTTCTTCTTCTTCTTAATAATAATACTAATAATATTCAAAATCATTATCATCATCTTCATAATCATCATTTTATTATCATCTCGTCATCTTATCTTACCTTCTTCTCCATAATCATCATTTTTTCATAATCATCTTCTATTTGGTAATTCATAATCTTATTATCCTTTGACCTTCGCCTCCATCCTCAAGTCCCTGGTTCTTTTAATCTCCCTCCTCTATTCTGTTACTGTTGTCTTCCTTCCGGATTGTGTCTAAAGAACTGAGAAAAATTACATATACCTCAGAGACGATTACAGATTGTCAGAAGAGAGTCAAACCAGGAACTTACCGGGTGCGAAACGGAAATAATATTTATACCACGATGAGCCTATGTCCTTTGTAATATTCTGGAGTGAAATTTGAGATTATGTTAAATTATACTAACACAGCGGTGATGATGCATTTAAGTAAAGAAAAATTTCGTTCGCAGTTTACGATTCAAATTGTACTTGGGTTTCTTGAACTTCTCTTAACAAATATCAGAGCATTTTTGTAAATATTAAAAAGCTCCAAATCCGTTATGAAAGGAAACTGCATCTCTCTTTGTGGACTGAAGTATTTACGAGTTGAGCACCTAATACTATAGTAAACTAATTCCATTTATTGGTACGCCAGATCTAACACAAATAGCTCTTTCGTTCAAAACAAGGTGCGGAAACACAAAACACATGTAATCACAGTAGCGAATGTAATGGTTTTGTGAGGGAAACAGATTCCTTCAAGGCGGCAGACAGGTTTTCAAGGTTTATCAGCTTCTGAATTCCTGAATCAGTCTTTATGAAACTTGGTATGCATATCATGGCGACAGAGACAATCTCAACGGTGTATTTCATAAACCCCTCCAAAGTCTATGCATCCCCCTGTCGTTGCTAGGCAACGACTCGGTGAAAACGTTACTGCGGCAGCGAATACACACACGCAGCAATAGAGGAGTTGTTGGATGTGTCGTTTTCAATGCGGTCCGTGCTGTATCAAAAGAAAGTAGGCGATTAGTTATTTCCAGACCTTGTTTCAAAATGGCATCTATATTTGTTGTGACATATTTGTGTAAAAAAAATACTATGTCAAGTACGATATCTTTATAGTGAGTAATAAAAGGTTTACTGCTTAGAAGCAAAGAATCGGATAATATTTAATATAGGCTTCTGACTGTACTGCTGCAATCTAAAGCATACAGAAGCGTGTACTTGAAGAGACCTCAATAGATGTTTGTATAACGGAACAGATGAAGTCAGATTACTGTTATAAACAGATGTGCAGTAATAAAAAAGTCGTTTTGAAGATCTGTTGCAAGTCATTATCTTACTCTGAACATGAAGAAGTATCTGCTCAGTCTTGTTGCTCTCGTTGCAAATGTACGTGGTCACACAAATCACTCATTTCCAGCTAACTTCATATTTGGGGCCGCTACGGCTTCATATCAGGTCGAAGGTGCATGGAATCATGAAGGTGAGTTCACTTGCAAGATTTACAGGGTGTCCGGATGAGAGGTATCCACAACAAAAAAATGTATATCTCGGAAACTGTCATAGACGTATCCGGTTCATGTCATCGGAAAGGAAAACTCTGAAAGTTTTTTTTTTCATACCCGGCTTACGCGCAAGCGCCGCCATATTTCTGCCACCATGCTAGAAATCACCTGTACAGAGAGATGGCTGGGATATGAACTGATAGAGGTAGACCAATCGCTTGGCCTCCTAGGTCGCCAGATTTAACCAAACTGGATTTTTCTTGTGGGGTTATGTGAAGAACACCGTCTACCAGGTTGAAATCAACGAGCTTCAACATCTGAAGCCCGCATAAGGGACGATGTGGCTACGGTAACACCAAACATGTTTCAAGCCTGGATATTTGTCGTGCCACCAGGGGAGCCAACATTGAAATTTACTGAGAAAGTTATGTACGCAGAAAAGCTTTGATAGCTTCCCTTTGTAGTGGTGTAACCCATATATGTGTATAATAAATTCTTTCTGAGATTATAATGATTTTGATACCTTTTGTCCGGACAAACTTTATATAGTATCCCAAGGGAGAATTCACACAAATCTGATACTAAAATCCACGCGCTCGCGTCCTTCTCGAGAAGCAAACAGTTTTCTTTATTGCTAGTGCGGTGGGACTAAGTCCCTTTGTACTGCGGCCAATTTTGGCATATTGTACCAGCCCCAGATGATAGATGAGGGTGATTGTGGAGCAATTGGTGGAATAAAGATTGGCAGGGGAAACCGAAGTACTCGGAGAAAACCTGCCCCAGCGCCACTTTGTCCACCACAAACCCCACTTGACCAGACCCGGGATCGAACTCGGGCCGCCGCGGTGGGAAGCCAGCGACTAACCGCTTCAGCTATGGCGCGGCCCTAAGCAAACAGTTGCTCCGCCACTCAGGGAATTCCCAACACTTTATGGCGCCCTAAGATTTATTTACGTATTCATATCACTTGTTCCTATCCTGAGCCAAATTAATTCAATCCACACACTCAATTCTATTTCTCTAAAATCCGTTTTAACATCAGTATCCCATCTACGTCTAGACTTTCTTAGTTTTCTCTTCTATTGTTGTATTTGAGCATTCTGCTGCATTAATATATCATTTATTTCATACAATATTGTAACATGTTTCAGTGACTAAAGACGCGGGTTTGGATCGGTGAGTTAATTTATTGCATATTCACAAGTCGTAACTACAAATAACTGTAACACACTCAAGATTACTGTAATTATAACACACATATAAAATCTTCTCTGCTTACACTAGTCTTTGCTAGGTAAGAGATCCAAACAATGACTATTCTTTTGAAAAGTTTTCCTTATCCGTTTCCTGGCAACGGACTTTAACACAGGAACTGTAACTCACACTCCATATACCACTGCACCACAGCACACATTAAGTCTTCAATTCACAATTAACGTCCATGTATTTATCGTCCGTCAATATGGACGTTAAGTTAAACAATTGAAACAGGACGCTGAAATACAGAATTTCAAACCACACGTTAAGTTTTCAAAGGCCGACTTATAATTCTTCAACTACGAACTTCCCGTGGCTATCTCCTACAGAGAACTGACTCGTAGCGCGGATTGTCAAGATAACTCCTCTGCACGGACCCCAAGGGAAACGCCGTCTATTTTGTTCAGGATGTGTGTTTATAGCTTCGTTGCCTGACAGCAGACGTCCTACTGTTTCGTGCGTTTGTTTGGCGCGGACCATATAAAAAAGTTTCCCCTATATTGTTGTCACGTTCTTAATGGGAGGGGTGGTGTTTACCGGCCGTCGCATAGAAACAGCAGTTCTTCTACTGTTGCCTGCATTCGTTGCTGCGCGAATGTTTACGGACATTTCTCTATTGTTGTAGAAACGGCCCATATGTCACAATGTATTTCCGTCTACAATGCATCTTATTATTGTCCCCTTTCCTTCTCACAACGTGTTTTGGAACTACATAATAACACACAAATATCCATGTCGCTCCTAAGGTAAATCCAAACAAGGACCTCAAAAGTGTCCTTTGGAGAAATGGATGATAACACCAATCAAAACATTGAAATTTTAACAAATTTTAACTATTTTTATTGATTTTAATTAAAGTTAATTTATTTTAAGTTAAGAAATATCACATTCATATGTGATATAAGAAGCTCGACATATCATACACTGCAAATAATTTTAGCGAATTAGACGCACCTGAATATGGCAGTGTATGGCCGAAACATGTTGTGAAAAAGAAGGTTGACAAAAATAAGTTTCACTGTAGAAGGAAATATACTGTCTCTTTAGATTTTCCTACCTCCACACATCTATCTTCTCCTCCACATGCGTTCTAAGTTCCCTGTCAATCCCATCTTCCCTAACTTGATTATCTTAATAGCCGACGAGAGGGCACAAGTTACGAAGCCCTTCGTTGTGTAATTTTCTCCAGTCTCATATTATTTCATCATTCATTAATTTGGAATTATATTAAGAAAATTAAAATGATTGTAATTCGAAGGTTCATCATAGGACTGCACACAACTGAAAACAATCTCGAATCAGTTCCAATCTCCAGTCAAAGCCCGTTTCCCCTTACGTTCATCGTCTTTTCTGTTTGAGTGACTTCCCGACGCAGCCAACATCTGAAATACAGCGCGTCGAATGGTAGGATGGCTGATGATTGATGAACTTGAAATCGGTCGTGACACAATCAAAGTATTGCCCTGTTACTTGCCTGGAAGGGCAGGGGAAAACCACGAAAATCCGCAGCCATGTGCCCTAGATCAGAACCAAGCGCCTATAGAACACAGAACCGATACTTCAACTCGATGACTTAGCCTGCTACTAAATTTTTACCCGTTTCTTATATCTTTAACCCTGAAGATGGAAGCCGTATGATCCTGAGAAATGTCCAGACTATACGGTATCACATGCTACGAGAACCTCAAATCCAACACAGATGAATCAGCTCACATCCTCTTCTAATATCCATTTTAATATTATCCTCGTATCTACGCTTATGCCGTAACGTGCTTCTTCAGTTTCCTGCGTCACTGATCTCTTCCTTTCAGGGAAGGGCGTAAATATCTGGGACACACTCACACACGATCATCCTGACTTCATGACCGACTTGTCAAATGGCGACATCGCGGCTAATTCGTATTTCAAATATAAAGAGGATGTTCAGCTGCTTAAGAAGATTGGTGTGAGTACTGTATGCTATTCGATATATCGATACAGCCGTTTAAGAAGATTGGTGTGAGTACTGTATGCTATTCGATATATCGATACAGCCGTTTAAGAAGATTGGTGTGAGTACTGTATGCTATTCGATATATCGATACAGCCGTTTAAGAAGATTGGTGTGAGTACTGTATGCTATTCGATATATCGATACAGGCGCTTAAGAAGATTGATGTGAGTACTGCATGCTATTCGATACACCGATACAGGATTAGGTCTAATATATATTATGATATGACTATATAAACATTGTCCGTTGGGTGGGGACGGCTCGATAAACAAAGGATCCGTTGCTAGGCAACAGCTCGCCAATACGTGAGTGACATAAAAGACGGACTCGTCCTCTATTCAGAGGGGGATACCAACATGAACAAACCGATAACTGTATGCCAGTCTTAGGCCCCAGATGCGGATTCACATCAAGATCGACTGGCCCACTGGCCGTCGGCCGTAACGTAACTTTAACTTGAACTTCTTCCTGGGGGATGGGAGTACATGTAGCAATATTCTATTGTTAACAGGACCGTCTATACATCATCATCCACAAAATAAAATCGATACTAAAGCATCAACAATCATTTATTGGGCAAAGACATTCACTATATATTTCGAACTTCATGAGGACATCATCAGGAAACTTTACATGAATTCAATCTTAGTTCTTGAATTATGTTTCTTAATATGGATCCATATTATTACAACCTTGTTGTTCAAATATAATGTAACAAACACGAAAGCAGTAAGTCCATTGGAGACGTCTGTCAGCTTCTACTTGTCTATACGGCGTCACTTCTCAGAGAGTCAGAAGTCTACACAGTCATCACTGTGAGACGGTTAAAAATAAATATTATTTTACTGTTCGTCCAGGTAAGGAAACGAAAGCTGACGAATAACTATGATGATAGCAATAATAATAATAAACAAAAAACTATTTCAGGCCAACTTCTATCGGTTCTCAGTGTCCTGGTCTCGAATCCTACCAACGGGACAAACAAACGTCATCAACCAGGCTGGAGTTGATTATTATAATAATCTCATAAATGAGCTGCTAGCAAACGGCATTGAGCCTATGGTATGTATTAACAACTGGTGGTTGCTGTTGAGAATTGCATGAATGTATAAGGGGTGGGCCTTCTCGGCCCTTGCACCGCGACCTACAGTGGGCTACTGTGCTTGCTGTTGAGAATTACTGACAAGGATAATTAATTATTTAATTAATACGTACACCCATTTCGAGTACATTTTCGAACTCAGTGTTTTCGTATATCAGTTCATAAAGACTACTGTCTTCTTGATTGTCAGACTGTACAACCTACTACATAATTACTGAAGTTTCCTGACTTACCCCACCCCACCCTACCCTACCCTACCTTACCTTACCGACCATTTCCTGCTCTGAAAGTGGAGGAAAACTACTGTCTTCTTGATTGTCAGACTGTACAACCTACTACATAATTACTGAAGTTTCCTGACTTACCCCACCCCACCCTACCCTACCCTACCTTACCTTACCGACCATTTCCTGCTCTGAAAGTGGAGGAAAACTACTGTCTTCTTGATTGTCAGACTGTACAACCTACTACATAATTACTGAAGTTTCCTGACTTACCCCACCCTACCCTACCATACCCTACCTTGCCTTACCGACCATTTCATACTCTGAAAGTGGAGGCACCAGGTTTCGCCGAAATGTTGGCCAATATCTAACAGGCTACAAGAAATCACATCACAGAAGACAATCATCGGCGTGCACATCGTAAAAATCTCAAATCTAACAAATTCGTTACACTTTTTGAGGTTTGCATTGCGATGATTCTTAAGAATGTGTTCATCTTGGTTGTGACACCGTGTAGTCTTGCAGGTGGATATCACTGTTTTGGAGGAATATGCTACCTCCAACTTCAGAATCGAAAAGTCCATATGGGATACATGAAATGTATACAGAATTTTGGTGGTAAAATTATTTGGGAACTGGTACTTTGTAGAATCGAGAAGAAGACGGGTGGATATTACTGAGATATGCTTTTTGTAAATAAGCTGAGAGTTTGAGGTGGATGGAACTGCTTCAGGATTATCTCCACTGGCGAATTTCGGTAAAGTTCGTCCGCCCTACGAACAAGGCTACGTCATATCTCGTGTAGGCAACCTTACGGAAGAAAAGAACTGTGTCAGTACGTCTGAATTTCCCACCTGCGTACAAGCATCGGAGTTACGTTAAAATGCCATTTTGCAACCTTATAATGATAACTTAACCATCTACGTCAGTAACTGGCGATGGAGTATACCAGCGGTGCTGCGGTTTTGGATTTAGCTACCGGTTACTTCTGGAAAGGCAAATGATTCTGTTAACTCTGACTTCTATTTCGAAAGAAATTAAGAAGGGCGAAGTTCAAAGATAATGAAGAAAGAATACATAACCGGTTTCAAAAGTTTGTACCCTTTCACTGACATCGTTAAAATAATTAATTCAAGATCTATGAGATAGGCAAGACATATAGTAGTGTGACATGTCTAACCGTTGCTGGGCAACGGTAGGTGGAACGAGTTGCCACGAAGACAGACCCTTCATAAATATAAATAATATGACATAAATAAAAATTACTGTTGCGTAACCTCGTTTCCACTGTTGCGTAACTTGGCAACCGACAGTTTATCAAGGGTCGGTCGTGGTAACTCGTTCCACCTCCCGTTGCCCAGCAACGGTTAGACATGTCAAACTATGTATGGGGATGCCAAAGAATTCTTATGTTCTATTAGCAAACATGCAGATAATACATAAATTTAAACCTAGGAGTAAAATGGGACGACATTTTTAAAATCTATTTTTAAAAGAACAGGTTGTGAAGATGTATATTGCGTTCAACTGGCTTTTGAGGACCCAGTAGAGGCCAATCTATTTGTGTAAAAGCAGTGGATGTCTGAATTAGCTCATTATCAAAAAATTGCCTTAAACCTAGATGCTCCAGCTTTAATTTTTACTTCACCAAACCGCCATTTTATGTTATCAGAGTTAAATCTCTTTTCGTGGTTGATATATGTAACAACTAGCTAACAACTTCAAATGTAGGGAACAAATTTTCTAAAATTTTCTAGGCTACGTACTTTAGATAATGCCACAGATGTCACATGCTGTCAGATATAGCAGTTCTCATAAATATCGAAATTTTCGACGTTTGGCATTTTTAGGGCCCTGTGTTATGATGTTAAACCCTCTTTTTTTATTGCAGGTGACTATATTCCATTGGGATCTTCCTCAGCCACTCCAAGACCTTGGAGGAATGACAAATAAATTTATAGTGGATATTTTCGTGGATTATGCTCGGGTTCTCTTCGTGCATTTCGGAGACAGGGTGAGCATATGCAAACTATGAATGCAACTTGTGTTGTACTGCGAACTGATATTAACAAGGCTGTGAAAATGTATATTGGGATTTTCCTGGTAATGACATGTAGCGGAACATTATCGAATTTTGGACATGATACCTGCTCCTCTGATAGATTCTTCCTGATTTTCCTCAGTCCTTTCTCATAGATTCCGGGATAATACCTGGATCAGACTACAAATACTTTACAATTAATCATTCACTAATCACACTACTTTTAGACGACATATTAGCTAGATTATGTTGGTTATTTAACGAGGCTGTCAGGATATAGACTACACAGCGTTGAATGGTATGATGAATGATGAACTGCGAAGGATCTGGGAGGAAGCGATAGCTGTCTAATCTAGGTACTATCGCGGAATTTGCCCGAAATATCTGAGGAAGAACACAAAGAGTAAGTCAGGAGAGAGGATGTCACTTCCGAGATTCGAACCTAGAACCTCCCAACTTGTTCTGTATCACGTACTGAGACCGTCTCAAAGTAACCCACCGAGAAGGAAAGAAAAAATGCAATATCGCAGGACGATACTAACTTTTCGAAGAAGCATTCTCCCTCCATTTTCAGGGTAGAAATCAAATATTCTCTGAAGAGTCAGCAGATTCCTCTACAAAGTTAACTAAACTGCAAGGTGTCGTAATCCAGGAAACCACAATCTTCAGTTACGAGGAAGAGACAGTAAATAGGTCACAAATGGAAGTAAAACAGCTGTAATGTAGGTAACAGGTTTTCTATGTCTCTCACTAGGTAGCAGCACAGTTCAGCTTCATGAGAATCCAGGTAGCAGACGCGCATGCGCATGTTCAGAGGCGGGTTTCAGTATTCAAAATGGTGACCGCGCTTGAGAATGGTACTACCGAAGAGCAGAATTCTATTGTGCGTTTTCTGTGGGAAAAAGGACTCAATGCAGAGGATATTCATATGTTTCCTTTTTCCTGCGGGAAGTGTTCGTCGCGTAAAGAGGTTCACAACTGGTTAGCAAGAGTTTCGCTGAAAATGAAGAGGTGGAAACGAAGGTGCAGACAACAGTCAAAAGACTTTACATTTCGAGTTTCGACGCAGTGGTAAAGCGTTGAGACAAGTATATCAATTTTGACGGTTATGTCGAGAAATAATTTTTTCCCCAGGTTCGAATATCATATGTTTTACTTTTTATGTCTCTCCTATTTACCGAGTCTCCCTCGTAAAAATATATTATTTAACCTCTTCTCCTGTACATTATCTATTTTTAGGTGAAATGGTGGATCACGTTTAACGAACCAGCAGTGTTTTCAATTGGTTACACCACCGCTAGGGGCTTCGCCCCCAGTGTCAATGCACCTGGTATCGGCAACTACCTGGCAGTTCACAGCATACTGTTAGCACACGCCAAGACATACCACATGTACAGGCGGGAATTCTGGGCCAAACAGCAAGGTTAATTAACCCTTTTTTCTCCTTGGCACTACAGCCCCAGTGGGGCTAGGCCTACCTCTATGAACTTCTCCGTTCACTTCGGTTTTTCTAGATCTTACACATTCGGTAGGACTCTTTGGGCTGGTGATCAGCTCGTCGCAAGGCCTCTACCTATACACAAACACAGAAAAACGCATACACACAAATTAAACATCCATGCCCTGAGTGGGATTCGAACCCACGATCCCGGTTTCCAAGCGAGCGAAGACAGTACATGCCTTAGACCGCTCGGCTACTGTGACCGGCTAATTAACTTTAGCTGGACAAATACAGGGTCTCCCCATTATTGACGCTGCGAAAGTGGCCAGAAAGCTAACTGTTAACATCTAGGGCAGGGAAATTTCGAGAGAAGTGACGGCGTCAAGTCAGTTTCATAAATTACCTGCAATTGTTATATAAATTTATTGTCTCTTAAAATTCTGTGGCTCTTATTACAAGTAAAACGAGGGACATGTTCGACATGGCGAATATAAAATGGGCATTCTGTGAGTAGGATTGTCGATGGCCTATCAATGAGTTAGTCCATGCTATAAAAAGGTAAGAAGCTAAATTTTCCCCTGTGCTTAGTTAATTAAACAGAGCACCATGAAGACGAATGTGGGACTGGAGGTATAGCTCCACCATTCTCTACTCCGAGACTACATGAAGGTGAGCTGTAATCTTCACGCTCCTACCGCTTTACCCCCATGGAAAGAGTCCCCAGTACCCATCGGACAGAAAGCTGGGTGATCATCAGAACCGGACTGAACGCTAAGGAGAAGAGAAACATCTTGCAGGGAATCGGACCATGGTCTTCCAAGCCCTAAGCCCGTCACCATATCGACTGATCTATCCCGGCTCTCTGCAAATCAATATGTATATAGAACAATGTGGAGGTGCCTATGGACGGCAGGGTGATCAGAACTTGGGAGTTCGCAGACATATTTATTAGGTTCAGAACTTAGTCTGCATAAAACGAACGCAGAAAATTTTCACCGACAAAAGGGGGTTATGTTCCTCCATCCCCCCCCCCAATACAGCTGTTTTTAAAACCAATGCCATATATTAAATGTAAATTTAAGGGATCAGATTTTTTCTCAGCCTTCTGAAACGTATCTCAGGTTACAGCATGGGAAAATGATGTTCGAATGACCATAATTCGACTCAAAAAGGGATTTTCAAAAAGTTTTGTGATCGTAAGTCTGAAATGGCCTGTATAATTACTTGAGACAACGCTTAAAACTTCTAGGCTCAGAGCTTCAAGATTAATGAATAAGAGCAGTATACTCGTATGTTTTGGAATTTCCCACGGTAGTAACCTTTCAGACTGTCATCTTCTGAGCTGTTATCACCGAGAAATATTTTAGTTTGACGCATTTCTTTCATCTTCAGTGTTGAAATGAGTAGGTTGAGGGGACGTTAGGTTATACAACCATAATGCGGATTTATTTTTATCATAATTAATCAATTATTTTTCCCACATAATATGTTCTGAGCAAATTAGGTAAAATAATGAAAACAGCGGGAAGTACAAATAAGGATTTTCGATGGAATTCTCTTTACTTTCTGCAGGAAATATGAGCCTGGCTTTAAACTCGCGTTGGTTTGAACCAAAGACGAATTCTACAGAAGACGTGCAGTCAGCCCAGAGGGCCATCCAGTTCTATGTAAGTTCAGTTCATCTCTCTATACCAGGCATGTCCAACACGTCGATCGCGGGACGATTTTTGGTCGATCTCATAGGCCTATAAGGAAATTATATGTGAAAAGCATGTAAATTCACTTGTAATATAATATGATTATAGTCAGATTTTAAAGGGAAAATACGTGCTAAAGTAGTCTGTACTTTCAATGTATGTTGCTTTTACAACAAACATCAAATGTCGTGTTATTTTTACCAATATTTTTGCTTAAAGTGAGGTACGACGATAGGAGGTGGTGGTATCACTGACAATTTTGACACTAAAAAGTCGATCACAACCTGTTTGGACATGCCTGCACTATATGTACAATAAAACTATAACAACGCTACGTGATATTACGCTAACAAAACGCGTTGATGTGCGAAGCTAGCGTTAGTTGCTAGTAGTAATAATTCTATTGGAAAGGTAAGGCAAAACAAGAAGTCCTGGGAAGAACTAATCGCATACTTTCCTTTAATACGACATGGATCCCATAGATAATTAAAAGAAAAACGGTAGGGGAAAACAAAGACAGGAAGGCGATTACATAATCCTCCGAATAAAAATCAGGGGGAGACGAACGGACACAGATAGCGAAGTGATCCCATAAAAAAAGGTAAAGTTATCCCTGTAACAGGCCGTGGAGAACCATAGGGTTGTGAGACTTCGAGGCTCCCACATTTTCTCTAGACAATCGCCTCACAGATGGCGACAAGGTTGTCAGCCTTAAGCACCGGTCGCCTTTAGCCCCCAGGAAAATTCCTGGTACTCATTTCTGTTAGAGGCTGAGTCGACCCCAGGGCCATAGTGCGGCTGGAAGGATTAGGTTAAATTGAAAAACTCCACTTCATCGGCAATCGAACCCGCGACTTTCCGGCTTGTAGCATAGTGCCCCAGGTAACCCCATAAGTGTCCCTTTATTTTTCTACAATAAGGAATTTAGGCTAAAAGGACACAGGCAAAATTGTTTCTGTGCTTCATTAATTAAGCACTACGCCATGACAGATGGGGAAGTGGAGGTATGGCTCCACCATTCTTTGCCTCGGCACTAGATGGAGGTGAATGGTCAGCTTCACTTCCCGACCGCTCCACCCCTGAGGCAAAAAGACCAGACAGACGGAAGGATTACAGTTCATACATGTATATGTAGAATCCGCGGTTCTCACAGCTGTAATGAAGAGTTCTATCTCCTGCGATATAACTACACGGCGTATACAACTCTTCAGTGTAAGTATGGCTTGCCTCAAATAGTCTGACCACTTGTATACCATGACATTTCAAATTTCCAGCTGGGTCTATATGCCCACCCCATCTTCAGCCAGGAAGGGGATTACCCAAAACTGGTGAAGGACAGGATCGCGCAGAAGAGCTTGGATGAAGGCTTCTTCAGGTCACGTCTTCCAAAATTCACCAAGGAACAGATTTCCCATATACGAGGTAAAATAAAAACGTAAAGTTATCCCTGTAACAGGCCATGGATGCCCATAGGGTTGTGAGACGTCGAGGCTCCCACATTTTCTCTAGACAGTCGGCTCACAGATGGCGGTGAGGTTGTCAGCCTTACGCGTCAATCTATCCCATGATAGGCCGTTGAGGCTCCCACATTTTCTAGAAAATCGGCTCACAGATGGCAGTAATGTCAGCCTTACGCGTCAATCTATCCCATGATAGGCCGATGAGGCTCCCACGTTTTCTAGAAAATCGGCTCACAGATGGCGGTGAGGTCGCTAGCCGATCGCGTCAAACTATCCCATGACAGGCCGTAGAGTCCCTCAACCCTCTTCAGTGGAAAGTTTTAACGCCCTGTCTTCAAACACCTCGGTCTACGTGCCTCCCTTAATGTCAGAGACCAATTTTCACACCCACATAGAACCACAGGGGGGAAAAAAGTGTTGTATGTTTTAATTTTTAAGTATTAGACAGCAGACGAGAAGACACAAGGTTTTGAACTGAACTGAAGCAAGCATTAGCCGTATATAATCTGCTCTTAATTTGCTCATGCATAAAATCTCGATTTTTTATTGTCAGCAATATCATTTTAGAATATTTAGAATTATATAAATTTTATTTGCTGAAGGGACGTTCGATTTTTTCGGCCTGAACCATTACACGACATCCTTGACGACAGTTGGGAATACGGAGAACCAAGGACCTTCCCTCGAAGCGGATGTCTGGGCACAGCGACTATTTGACCGAAGCTGGAAGGAAACAGGAGACCCGAGCAGGAAGGTAAATGAGCCAATGAGTATATGAGGCAATATTTCGAGCCACTGTTGAGGCTTTCTCACTATTATCTTTTTATAGGACAGGTGGTCTAGTGGTCAGAGTTCCTGCTTACAGATCCAGAGGTCCGGGTTCGATCCCCGGCGCTACCAGATTTGCTGAGAAGTAGTGGGTCTGGAACGGGGTCCACTCAGCCTCGTGAGGACAACTGAGGAGCAACTTGAATGGGAAAGTAGCGGCACCGGTCTAGATAACCGAGATTAACGGCCGTGGGGATTCGTTGCGCTGACCACGTGACACCCTCTATCCGCTAAATTTGGCACTAACTTCACAGACAAGCGGCGGTCGCTCGGTCCGTATAGTTCGCTTGCAGACTACAGGCCACGGAGTTTATACTTTTTATAGGAAAGGTGGCCAATATGAGACTCCTCACTAACTGCATCAAGCAGGTGCTGAAATCTTACTAATAAGTTACAAAATCTTTACTGCAATGACGAAACAGCTGTCTTGAGCAAAGATGGCCCGCGCTTACTGTGAGGAGCATATTGCAATAAGGAAAAAGTAATATTGCTTTTAGATTCCATCCACATCGCTGTTGGTATGGTCTAGAATTCAGCAAAAAGAAACGGAGGATGAGATATAAATTTACTTGCAGTGTTAGGCGGCTTAGAGTATATAAAACAGACAGAACCGCTACTGCATAATAACACCACCGCGTGGAACTGTATATATACACAATATCAAATTTGGAAAAAACCAAGTCCACGTATAAAGAAGCTGCGAGTATAGCCTTCACATGACAACAGGAAGGTCAAAAACCAACACGGCCCAAATGCTGATCAAATTTACTTTACTGATTTATTTTTATTTCCTAATTCTAGTTTTAATCCTACAAGTATCATATCTAAAATTTCAAACTTTACAAAATCTGTTAAGTCTGACATAATGTGATATCTGTTGACAATTTTGTTGAACTACATAAAACAAAAAATTGAGGGATTTTTTCATCATAATTTTATTATTTATTTAAATTGCAAATGGGGTTTTTCCCGGAGGCAGTGGTACTACAATAAGACACAATGCACAAATAACACACAACACACACAATAACACTACAGTCAAACAAAACACAGCACACAAAACTACAAATAACAAAGAACACAATACACACAACGAATACAATGAAAACACACAATTATAACAACAATTATATTACAGTTACAACTAGAATTCTTTTAAGTTTGTTCGTTTATATTAGAATTTACCAATGGAAGAGAAGCTACGGAAAACTAAAATGTAGGTTCAACAGTGTAAGATTTGAGGTTATATTTCTAGTTTTCATTAGCATAACGACCTCTGCAATTCGACTGTTGTGTTCTTATCCGCATTGTAATGCAAACATATGATTGAAATGCATAGGTTGTGCCTTGGGGTTTCCGGAAATTACTGAACTGGATCAAGAACGAGTACAACAATCCTCCTGTGTTCATAACAGAGAACGGAGTTTCTGACCCAACTGAGTTCAACGACACTCTGAGGATACATTACTATACCGTAGGTATATTCGCCTCCATACAGTTGGTACGACATTACTGTAGCGTTGCAAATATGGCGGTTCATGCATGTACTATAGCAACAATGGATACCGGAAGGATAGTTTAGGGATATACGAGTATGTAAGGAAAGTTGAACTGGAGGTTCTCAGGGGGACCACTCATATTTTTTGGGATGGTCGACATTTGATCTGGTAGAAACAAGCAAGTACCAAGCAGCTGCGACTTGCTTGCTACCCAGGCTTATTCCCCGACCTTGAAAACTGAATAAATACCGAAAGGTCAGTAAACTTCTACCAGACTGCAAAGTGTCGTATCCCTGACATAGTATTAATAGGTTAAGGAGTTAAGAAATAGAGAGATTAAAGTGAAAAAATGGAGGAAAACAAAGTTCTCAGAGGTCAGCAGACCCAATGAGAAAGTAAGTAATATAGGTACAGTAAACCCTCGCTAATCCGGTTACAGTTAGTCTGAATGTCGGATAATCCGGATCGAATTATGAAAATTTCTTTTCACAGTTGAATACATACTTTAAAGGAAACGTGGCATTTAGGAAGGCAGATGAGTCACTTGTCTGGTCAGACAAAATTTTAGACAGTTTCTTCAAATCTGCATTATTACGTTCAAAAACAAACTTCTAAGTCTTCTATCGACAAATAAATGTATTGTCTTTTTATAGTTTTTAAATAAAGGCTCTAAAGTGATTTTTTTTACTAATTTTCATCAGAACTATTTAATTCATTAAATTTTCCATTTATTCCAAGTTTTTTCCTGTCTTCTATGGTTAACTTTTGCCTCACCAATCCATATTATCGCTTAATCCGGATAAGTTCTTCCCCCACCCCAATTATTTGGATTAGCGAGGGTTTACTGTATACTATAACATTTTGCTTTGTTCCAAGTATTTAGAGACAAAATAAAGTTGTCCCTGTGCTTAACAAATTAAGCACTGTGCCATGAAGACGTATGAGGGGGTGGATATACAGATCCAAATAATCTTGACCTCGGCGACCTTCCGGCTTGCAGCATAGTGCCTCAACCAACTACGCTACTGCGTGCCCCATCCTAAGGTGAATGTTATAAAAAAGAAATATCCAGCAAAGAGAGTACAATTTTTATGTTTCAAAGATTATTATTTAAACCAAGAGGCTCCGACGTTAGAAAATATATTTGTTCCGGTATAGCGGCTCCGGTCTAGAAAACCGAAATTGACGGCCGTGGGGATCCGTTGCGTTGACCACGCGACACCCTCTATCCGCCAAAGTTGGCACCAACTTTGCCGAAAAGTGACGGTAGCTCGATCGGTATAGTTCGCTTGCGGATTAAAGCCACGGAGTTTGTTTTGTCCTGGTATAGCACTACCTGAATGAGATGCTGAATGCCATGTTTCAAGATGGTTGCAACGTGATCGGATATGCGGCTTGGAGCCTCATTGACAATTTTGAATGGAATTCTGGATACACGTGAGTCTTTCAACAAATCACTAAGTCTTGTTTAACTAACTTCCGTAAGGTATGAATTAAGTAAATAAATCCCACTTTAACTATAACATATATATGGTATGTAGTCTCGATACTGATAGCATTGTTGAATGAACAACTAAAGATAAAAAACTAAAATATATTAACATTTATATGGTTAGAAATGATAAGTGTTAAGAATCTCATTCCTTACAAACTTCACTATATCTGACAGCATGCGATATCTACTGGCCGTTATCTGAACTACATAGTTGAATATTTGGAGGGAAGTTTTATTTACACTTGAGATTCATATGAATCTTTATATTATATATTATATTTAACCGTGAATTAACAGCAGGAATGACTACTTCGTACTGTTGGCACTTCTAGTATTAATTAGTGTTCTGAGTGAAACTTAACATGGGGTTCACTTACGATAAAATAAGCAACTAGCCTACCATCTTCACGGTCCTTCTTAGAAAGCTACTAGTCGCTTTCATTTGCGCTCTGAACCTCCCTGCCAACAACAGAGTAATTTGACGTCTGTGACAATACAAACCCTTTGGATTAAATGAGATATGCTTACGGCTGCACAAAGTAACCGGACGAAAGGTGAAGCAGTGCAGTAACTGGGCAAAAGACGTATCAAGCACAGAGAGAAATCTTGTATTTGTTTTGTAATCTCTGACTTCATTTTATACGGATATTTTGAGTAACCTGAATTTTAAGCCAATTATGCCTTTTTTTCGTTATGACATCGTGTATTGCGGTAGGTGTTACCAGCGTTTCAAGAGAACATACCGACTTCCATTGTATTTACTTCTGCCAGCACAACTTTACATAAAGTTCTTAGTATTAGTCAACCCCCATTAATCAACGTTAATTGGCTCTACGAAACGTCGATTAATTTGAAATGATAATAGTAATAAATATTTAAGACAAAAAAGTTGTGACTAACAAATACAACTGAAAATACAACACAACCTGACACTACGCTATGATATTTATTTTGCCTTCACCGTCAGCTTAGAAGTGCATTGGTAAGCATTTACCAGATAACACGGTGTCATAACTAGGGAAAACATATAAATTTCTACTTCCTTTAAAAATCTCAAATTTCTTAGGTTGATAACCGATAATAACTTGTAGGCTTTTAATAATCTATCTATCTACCTACCTACCTATTTATTTATCTATCAATCTATCTATGTCTCTACAGCCATTTGTTGGACCTTGGCAGCCTTCTCAGTTTCTTGATCTGTACTCAGTCAGTAGGACCCCTTGGACGGGGGACCAGCCCGTCGCAGGGCCGCAACCTGTACAGAGGTACAAAAACACATAATAAAGGCACACAGACATCCATGCCTGGAGAGGAATTCGAACCCACGATCCCTTTAGAGCGAACGAAGACAGTTCATGCCTCAGACCACGCAGCCTTTGTCATCGGCTATCATCCTATCACCGACGCTATACAGTGTCGATACTGACAGCATCGTTAAATAAGCAACTTAAAGACAGACCATGGTCAATATAATAATAGACCTTCGGGTTCTGTAACTGGCTAAGAGGTGTTTAAGTGAGCGACTAATAGCTTTTTTTTTATTGCTAGTGGTGTGGGACTAAGTCCCTTGTACTGCGGCCAATTCTGGCCTATTGTACCAGCCTCAGATGATAGGTGAGGGGGATTGTGGAGCAATTGGTGGAATGAAGATTGGCAGGGGAAACCGAAGTACTCGGAGAAAACCTGCCCCAGCGCCACTTTGTCCACCAGAAATCCCACTCGACCAGACCCGGGATCGAACCCGGGCAGCCGCGGTGGGAAGCCAACGACTAACCGCTTGAGCTATGGCGCGGCCCTGACTAATAGCTTTACAAGCAGAACTGGGCTCCATGAAGGAAGACAGATGAAACTGTTTATGAGTAAAGAGTGTGTATAGACCGTTAATTATCTGTAGGTAATTATTTATTTTTTTACTTTTTTTAGGCTTTCCCGGTGATTCACTCTTGATTTTGTTTTTCGGTCTTTCGTCGCGTGATTATGGACATTGGTACCGACGTTTCGGAGGTATACGCCTCCTCCATTTTCATGGCCGAAGTGAATAGGATGGGTGATTGTCCACTCACTCACGATAATCATACCGACCAAAAAACTGAAGTATATTCCTCCGAAACATCGGCAAATTGTCTATATCCCCACGGTACAAGGGCTCGAGAGGAAAATCAACGTCAATGATTACAGTTTTATTATCCTTTTCAAATAATTCTAGGCAACTCCCCCGTCCAACAACCCTTAGCATCTTAGGTTCCAGGGGCAAAAACGCGATGAAGATACAGCGTCGTAATGGAACCATCAAGTATTTTGAATTGTTTGTACACAACACACAACGCGTAGGAAACATCTGACCATAAGCCTACACAACCTCAAGTTGACATCTCCCATCATCGGGACGAATTAACAAGAAGGAGCCTAACATTTTACTTCAAATGTTTTAAACTTTTAAATATTTTAACATTGACGGTTTAATTTGAGGGCAATTTTCGGATGGAATGCAAGAGTTGAACGTGCATTCAATATTCCTAGAAAGTGTTGTGCTTTTACACTTCGACATTTGTAGCAGCGTCCACGCAGCATATATACTGTGTACATTAAACAACGCCAGTGTTTTCATGTGTTTGTAATATGTGCCTCTGATGATGGTTTTCTTAAACCGAAACATGTAAGGCAAGTGAGATAAAGAAGTGACCTAAAAACATTCTTACACTCGACGGATTTTTCATTGACTTTGGAACCATCAAGTGTTTATCCGACTTTGCTTTCCGTTTTCTTTCTGCCGTCTATATGCAACGTCGGTTAATATTCTCTCGTCTTTTTCTCTTTATTATCGCTATCTGGAACGGGGTCCACTCAGCCTCGTGAGGATAATTGAGGAGCTACTCGAATGGAAAAGTAGCGACTCCGGTCTAGAAAACCGAGATTAACGGCCGTGGGAATCCGTTGTGCTGACCACGCGACACCCTCTATCCGCTAAAGTTGGCACTAACTTCGCCAACAAGCGCGGACGCTCGGTCGGTATAGTTCGCTTGCAGACTAAAGCCAAGGAGTTTGTTCATGGCCGTATATTTCGGCCTAACCGGCCATCTTCAGGTGTACACAGTTGTTTTGATGAAGGAAACATGTAGTGATAATGAAGAGAGAATATTAACAGACGTTACACACAGACGGCAAAGAGCTCGGAAAGCAAAGTCAGACCTACGCAGTGCAACAGGATGCTGCAATTTAATATCAAGTTGTTATATTTTAGTCAGAGGTTTGGACTGTTTCACGTCAACTTCACCGATCCAGAAAGAACTCGGACTGCCAAGGAATCTTCACGAGTGTACGCAGAAATAATTCGCACAAGACAGATACCAGCGCGGCACTTCCACAGCGCTTCGCAGGATTAAACACAGTGAAACAGTAGAGCCACGTGCTCATACAGTCTTCCTACATGTAAACTCTGTATTTGTGCTCATAATAAAACCGAGATAACGGCTGGACGACCGGGGTTCGATCCTTCTCTTCGAAGAAAACCAGGGTATAATTCAGCCAGGACAGTGTGTGTCCCAACCTTTTTCTCAGGTTAATTATTTAAGGACGCCGTCGAGACAACACAGTGTCCGGTGTTAGGATGATTATAGAACAGTTACTGGAAAGAGAATTGGCAGGGGAAAACCAGAGCAAGAGAAGAAGGAAGTATAAGTAGTAGGATGCTACAAGCCAGAAAGTCGCGGGTTCAAGTCGCGATGAGGTCATTGGATTTTTTCAATTGACCAAATCCTTCCGGCCGCACTATGGCCCTTGGGTCGACTCAGCCTCTAACAGAAATGAGTACCAGGAATTAATTAAATAATTTTCCTGGGGAGTAAAGCGCGGCCGGCGCGTAAGGCTGATAACCTTACCGCCATCTGTGAGCCGATTGTCTAGATAATGTGGGAGCCTCAACGTCGCACAACCCTATGAGTCTTCACGGCCTGTCACAGGGATAGCTTACTTACTTACTTAATTTTACTTATAAGCAGCAGGATACGATGAATGTAGAAGCAAAACTTTGCTAAACTTGCATGTCATTAACGTTAAAGAACTGTGTAACTTTTTTTGATTGTGTGGATAAACCTGTCACACTTCTGGCATCGTTGAAGTGTCTATGGACTACGTGACACGAAAAAAACGGCTAAGTATTTGTTATCCAAAAAAAAAAGAGATAATTACAACAAAAGAGCTTGAAGTGTCGTGCTTAATAATGGATTAAGTAATACTACGTCTCCATCTGATGACGACGCGAATCCGAAGTGTTTTGAACAGATTAAAATACGTTTAATTTGAGATTCTCAGCCAGGAGACAACACTTCGCAGTAGCGCCTTGTACGGTAGAAGTCTACCGACGTTTCGGACCAACGTATCGCCTTAAGGCCATAGCTCAAGAGGTTAGTCGCTGGCTTCCCATCGCGGCGGCCCGGGTTCGATCCCGGGTCTGGTCAAGTGGGATATGTGGTGGACAAAGTGGGGCTAGGGCGGGTTTTCTCCGAGTACTTCGGTTTCCCCTGCCAATCTTCATTCCACCAAAAATTCTCCATCATCATAACCACCCGAGGTAGGTACAATAGGCCAATTAGTGGCTGACGTGCTGAGCGGATCCAACTGGACTCGTCAAAAATAAGACAAGCAAGAAATCAGGAAGAAGCAGGGGGGTACAAACTACTGGTTTATTGCGTAACATATATTTACAACCTGAAGATGGAGGCGATACGCTCCTCCCAGACCAAATCACACGGCGTTAGAACCAATAAGATATGCTTCTCGTGGCCACCGCTCTCAGGACTTCAAATTTAGCGTACGTTATACTGTGTTGAACACATCTATGATGTTTCGTCATGACGAGCGAGTGACGTACATCATGCGACTCGAACTCCGACCCCTCGGTCCTCCAGCCAGTATCCAATCGCTATACAGACTGTGCTATCCCAGCTCCCCTTAACCCAATGTACATTACTGAAAGTTACTCCAGCCCTTTACAACCCATTTTAATACCACTTTCCCATATAATATGGGACGCAGACATGTTGTAAGCCTCACGTTTTGAAATTAAAGCATTCAGTAAATTTGACAACCAAATTTCTGTATTGAATTTTAAATTCTTATAGATGTGACTATGAAGGGTACTATTTTCTGAGACGCTGCATCATAGAGTCTGGTATAGAAATTTAGACATTTCGCAGCTCATTCTGCCTCCATCTTCAGGGTTGTAGAATAATCTGAGAAAACGGCCGGCCTAGTTCCTCAGTCCTACACGATTTTCTCTGAACTCCTTCGTGGCCTATACCTGAACCGTAAGTTCATCACGCAGGCCGCACTGTTTGCTGGATACTCCAATCCTGAAGATGGAAGCATGCATTACATTCCTCCAAAATGTTTGTTTACTTCTACTGGACAACATGGCGACACATCCCAGACGAGAATATTCTTAATCGAATGTATCACACTTTTTTCCCCCTCCAAAAATGTCATTTCTTGTCCGATTTAAGCTCTTTGACAATAGAAACGTGTCATGAGTGGGGGGTTTATTAAAAAAAACACATGTTTAAATGCGTTTGATCATGGCTATTAAAGATAATACACTTTATTTACTTAGCTGCATTCCACTCAAACAAGAGATTACACATCAACGACATGCATTCAGATTACAGGCAGATTCTGCGAACTTCATGATATTTTCCGATTTCTGTAATGCATTAACAGAGTAGGTGCAGGAGTTTGAAGGCGTAAGTATGATAATCACGTGATACACGCCTCCTGACAGTGCATTGTCCTAATGAGTAATCAGCTTGTCAGTGTTGCGGTTATCTGCATTTGAGTCATACGTGTTTTTTTTTCAGTTATGGCGAAATCGAAGTGTGATATCAAGATAGTAATATATGCTCATTTTACAGCACATTTCCCAGTTATCTCGTATTTTAGCTTCAAAATATCGATACAATTATAAACACGTGATCATACAGGAAAGTATAACTTAATGTACTTTTCTTATTGTTAGTGGGGTGGGACTAAGTCCCTTGTACTGCGGCCACTTCTGGCCTATTGTACCAGCCCCTGATTATAGGTGAGGGTGATCGTGGAGCAATTGGTGGAATGAAGATTGGCAGAGGAAACCGAAGTACTCGGAAGAAACCTGCCCCAGTGCCACTCCGTCTACCACAAATCTCACTTGACCAGACCCGGGATCGAACCTGGGCCGCCGCGGTGGGAAGGCAGCGATTAACCGCTTGAGCTATGGCGCGGCCCTAACTTAATGTACTTACTAGGGTTACAGTCTTCTGGGAAGTGACATGTTGTAAAATATTACCAAAATCTCTGAGGGACCTGATCCTGATATAAAGATATAAGGTCCGTCCGAAATTTTAGTAGTTTTTACCAGCCTACATGGAGTCATATCCCAAAAGCACACTCACACTCACAGCCTTCTAATCCTCATCTCAGTCTGTATTTACATCTCTTTGAAAAATCTTCGAAAACAATAAATTTGTCATAAACAAAAATGTATTGTCCTTTAACAGGTAAGATTGTTCTGTTGCTCAGTAATGACGATAAACAACGGCCGTTGCAAGGTAATGACCCTAAACAGTAGTACATGAGTGCTCTCTACGCTCTCCGAGCGATGGCTGCGTTACGCAACAATAGAACTGTTGAAGGCGGTGTTTTTTTAATTACATTGCATTGTATTCCATGGCTCCAAAGTTAGTCAAAATGACTGTAGGATGTAGAATATGTCATATATATACAAAACTTACGTACAGACTCAATGCAGTTCTCACACAAGAGAAACCAAAAATACACAGTGGCTACACACAAGGCTATTCAAAGATACATAAGTGCTATTTTAAATCGTGCCTTTTCATTTAGAAGACCTCTGAGATCAGATGGCAGGTTATTAAAAATGCTGATCCCGCCATAATATGCGCTTTTCTGAAAGCATGCGAGGTTAGCGAATGTTCTATGGAGACAGTGTTCTATGCGATCCGAGACGAGAAAGTCTTGGTACGGCAGTTAGAAGAGTTAGGAGTTAGTTGTGAGACAGTCGCCAGCCAGTAAGGACGTGAACACACAAGCTTAGAAAGCTAAGACGTTGGAAGCCGTTATCAGGAGACAACTGGTGAAGATACAGTAGACTGAGAAGGCGTCCTATAGTGAACTGTAGAATGTCTGAATTAGCGATAGCGCTACAGTTACTTGTAGTTACGTTCTGTAAGGGTTCAGTATATCCAACTACCAATCCAAACCCCGTCTATAGTCACTCTATCACGTGACGATACATTTCTGTAATAAACCTTAGATCTTGTAATTGATGGTATTATGTTGACAAATCTTGCGTTCTTAGGGGGGAACTGAAAGGCATAAAATTACATACCAGATCTCTTTAAAATTGGTGAAATGGTTCGAAAATGTGTAGAGGACAAATAAAGCAAGGTTATCTCATAAGCTCCTTTCCCCATAAAAAAGAAATTAAGATAAAAAAATATGAACCTTAAGCTTAATCAAACTGCGAATTATGTTTACGTTTACAATTGTAAATATTTTGATACTATTTATCTTGTCATCAATCATGGTCAAATACAAATCAGATCTCAGGTGATTTATCTGTCTGATGAGATATATATAAACCTACAGTTTCGCCTTAGCATCTTGACTTCAGTCACAACTCGGTACGATGAGTGGACGAACGCTTTCTTTTCTTGTTCTAGTGGCCGCTGTGTGCGGCGCAAGGGTCCCAACGAACTCTAGTAACTACACGTTTCCAGACGGTTTCAAATTTGGGGTAGCAACGGCTTCCTACCAGGTAGAGGGGGCATGGAACAAAGACGGTAAGTTCACTACGACCTGGCTGAATCTCTAGCTTAGTACATACTGGGTCGTTATTTAGCAGAAGCTAGAAACGGTACGCTTAAGTTTGCGTTCCTACGGCCACCGCAAGCTGTCAAGTGGCGCCTCTAGCGCTGTTCCGGCGAACCCTCTGCAACTGACGCGAACAGACCATTGCTATTTTTTCACATAGAGAGAGAGAGATTCGGATATGCAATAAAATAGCATAATTAAGAAAATGCATTAATAATATTGTTGTCCTGCTTCATTTTTGTACTCGTCCGTCTTTTTATGTAGCCTACTGGTGATATTTTTGGGTTGGGTAACTGTATAGTAACGGATCACACTGTCTCCATCACTAGCTAGAACAGCCCCAGCTGAGTAACATCCTTTCCCTTTTTTACACCTCATACTTCCGAAACGTCGTATAATTATAAACACGTTTGAGATAATGGAACGTGTCCAACATTATAACCTCATAAATAACACAGAGATATTGGGTTTTCTGACTTTATCCATCGTCCTGGTTTTAAGATAACTAAGAAAAACACGACGTTTCGGAAACAGATCCAGTTTCCGAAACGTCGTGTTTTTCTTAGTTATCTTAAAACCAGGACGATGGATGAAGTCAGAAAACCCAATATCTCTGTGTGTTATACACCATCGTCAGAATCCTATAGTAACTACTCATAAATAACAACAGATCACCGTCACAAATTTCTATATTACGTATCTGGGGATGCTGGGGTGTGATGGCTTATACTCCAGTAGCCCAACGACGTTTCGGAGAAAACTGAAAATGCAGGAGCGGAACAGCTTGTTTGCTTATTGTTTCGAATATTGTCGTCCCTGAAAATTGAACCAGAATTTTTGCCGAAACGTCTGTGAACGTTTACCGGTCTGCATGGCATCACATCCCAGAAAACAGTATGTTGTATTGTTAACTAGTTCAAGTCTGATGTTTCCTTAGGTAAAGGACACAGTATCTGGGACTACCAAACGCATAACGAGACATATTTGATTGCCGATGGATCGAATGGCGATGATGCTTGCGATTCCTATCATATGCTCGAGAAGGATGTAGCGCTATTGAAGAATCTTGGGGCAAGTGAAGTACAACATTTTCTGACGCCAAGTTGTAATCCGTTTTTATTGAAATCATTTACATGATATAATTGCTGATTTTAATAGTGCATATGTACTTGAAGAAATCTACCTACTGTGAAACATCCCACATACATTCTTCTCTCATTTGAGGTTATGAGCGAATGTTGTAGCAAATTCTGGTGCTAATTAACAGTTACGTTATCTGTCTGTTGGATCGTGGCCATGCTTCTGACCAAATCTGAGTTTAACAGTCACGGGAAACTTAAATTCTGCCAGCCAGCAACATCACTGAAATTTCTTCTGGTGGTGTGCATGCCACCATTTTGCATAAACCAACAAATATCCACTGCACATGCGCAGCGGTGTTGTTAACTGTCACAAATAAAACACTTGGTGAGGCTTTAAACCGTTCACCGCAAACGGCTTGCCATGTATCCTTGTTGGGAGTTAAGTTATTCGGTTTGTTTATCGGCTATGTTCATTTCGAACATCATGTATAAAACTAGAGACAGACTTGATAGGGCAGTGAATGTAATAATAATAATAATAATAATAATAATAATAATAATTAGTAGTAGTAGTAGTAGTAGTAGTAGTAGTAGTAGTAGTAGTACTAGTAGCCGCAACAAAATAGGATAGAAGACGCAATAGCAGTAGGGATATTACCCAAAGAAACCTTAACGCAGGCAACGCAAAGTTCACACACCTCAATGAATGGAAACGGAAACATGGTTTTCTTTGACAGGTTGACTTTTATCGCTTCTCCTTCTCGTGGTCAAGGCTTCTACCAAGCGGACATATCAATGCTGTGAACAACGCTGGAATCGATTATTACAACGGCCTTATAGACGCACTGCTACGGGAAGGAATTGAGCCTTTGGTGAGTAAGCGTTTCTTTCTCTGTTCCAGTTCAAGACTTAAGTGATGTTATTTGTGTATGAACAATCTGTAAAGCTTTCTTGCACTCAGAAAGTAAACATCAGGAAATAACACATTTATACCCTGAAGATGGAGCCACGAAATTCCCATGAAACATTTGTAACAACCTATAAGGTGACTTCACAGAAGACCACTATATAACTTCACGTAGAACATCCCCGAAGTAAGCCATACCTTGGGAAGGTATCGAATGAATGAATGCGTAAGGGATGGAGCTAGATCGACCCTTACACAGCGACCTACAATGATCTATTGTACACCCTCTTTTATTTCAGCCCTTCAACAATCCTAGCAGTATCTTACAGAGGCGTCTTGATAATCACCTGGCTCCATAAAGCAGTGATACAGGTGATGAAATCTTACATAAGCAGTGGCCTCACAATCACATGGGCATGTGGCTGATTCATCTTCTTCCAGGCAACTTTCACAATTGGGGTTATTCGTTAATCCCATTTTGAGCAGGCGCCCTTTCAGGTGACTGTGTCCTGTAAGTTGTCCTGTCACCCACCGTAACTGGTTTCTCTCTACTTTCACCCTTTCCTTGGTTCTGACAGAAGGCCGCCCTTGGAATCCCTTTGCCTGTTTGAGCCCTGTTAAGGACTCCCAGTATTTTTTACGGTCTCTGTCCAGTCCCTGGGAGGCTTCTTAGTATCACCTTAACTCCGTGGTTTTAGTCCGCAAGCGAACTATACCGACCGAGCGACCGCCGATTGTCAGCGAAGTTAGTGCCAACTTTAGCCGATAGTGCGTGTCGCGCGGTCAGCGCAACGAATCCTCAAGGCCGTTGATTTCGGTTTTCTAGACTGGACTTGGCATCACTGCGGAAGAAACCACATGTCCAAGGAGCTCTCCGATGTGGCGAGTCTGGTTCCTATTTTGTGTTTAAAATTGAACCTGGTAACTTTTTATGTTGACGTAATCGTCTCTGTGTGATTATGATGGTGCGACCGCAAAGGTGTTTTAGACATAACTATCATCCACTCACAACTTAAATTATTATTTATGCAGGCCACGATCTATCATTGGGATCTGCCACAGCAACTTCAGGATCTTGGAGGATGGCCAAACCCGGTTCTCGCAGACTACTTCGAGGACTACGCCCGTCTTCTGTTTGAAAATTTCGGAGATAGGGTAAGATATTGTCACGCAGTATGTGTGTGACTACAAGCGGGATCTGGATTAGTGAATGGATTTATTATTATTATTTTGCCCCTTATACATACGACTTGGAACTACAAGCAAATACAGTGCCACCGCTATCTCCACAATTCATAAATCACCACAGCACCCGTTAAGCCTTTTCCAGCCTGCTGTGTCTTCACAAGCTGTTCCCTGGCAACGTCTTCTAACAATAAAGATTCTTAAGCTTCACATGCTTAAGTATTCTCTTCACAGACTCCCGTACAGAACTGACTTGGTCAGAAAGTCAAAGTCAATGTTGCTTTACGACGGGTGGTTTACCGTCATTCAGTTCGTCTTGGCGGCAAGCCCCTTGAGACTCAAGACCAGTTATTTTAATGAACACTTGCGGTCATAATCCTTATGTAACATCCTCACTGACGACCGGATGGGTCTGTCCGAGTCCCGTGGGACTCATGATCATATTCTACACTCTCAGATTCGAGACTCCCCCCAACCTGGAAGGCCAGGTCCCCGTATCTATAGCCCCCAGGAAGAGGGTGGCCCAGTTATACTCCCAGGCACTAGATTCCTTCTTCGTCGCCTCCTACGACTCGGAGGTCCACGGTTGAGGTATTCGAACCCGCCTCCACACCGGGTTCCTGACTTGGTCACCCCAGTTGCATTCCCTATACCTCCTCGGCACGGGCAGAGTAGAAACCCAGTTTCCAACAGTACTTCTATTGTTGCGCGTCGATTCGTTGTGGGAACGTGTTTATCGAGCCGTTGCCTAGAAACGGCTTTAGTATTTTTAAATACCTCGCGGTCGCTGCATAATAACGACTTTACAAGCTACAATACACACACATCTGTGTAATATCCATAAAGAACTGAAAGGGTAGTCTCACTGTAGTATTGGTTCCCACTGATTTTTCCGGCACTATATAATTATTGAAGGGGTCCCTACCACACAGTTTAAGAAACTATGTCAAAAATACAATTGAAATATGTTAATTGTATGATATTTTTATTGCAGATAAAGATGTGGATAACATTCAACGAGCCTTCTGTATTTACCAATGGTTATGAGAGCAACATTAATCATGCTCCAAGTATTGAGGCTCCTGGGTTCGGGAAATACCTGGCTTCACATACCGTGTTGAAGGCCCATGCACAGGCCTACCACCTGTACAACAACATGTTCAGGGAAACACAGAAAGGTAAGTAGGGTTAGGTCTGACAACCTCAGATCCAAGCTTATCATTTCATGACTTAACGATCACGTGATTATATTAACAGGTAACGTGGGAATTACGCTCACCATTGATTGGTGTGAGCCCAAAGAGGAAACAGAACATCACTTGGCTGCATGCGAGAGATTTCAGCAGTTCGAGGTAAATATACTCCACTAACTGCTCCGTGGATTCGAGTCCTTTCTGAGAAGAAATGCTGGAAAATTCTAGTCCAATAAATTATCGGAATTTTATGGAATCCCACGATTAATTATGCGTTTTAACAGCCGTCCACTAAACGATATTATATTCCAGTTTAATCAGATTCACATCCTACATCACTAATTTATTATCAGTTTTAATATTATCATATGACTGACTACAGAGGGGCTTTGGATTAGTAATCGGATTTATTGAACACTTACAGAACGTAACTGCAAACAACTACGACAGTCTGAGTTACATAAACTACAGCACATATAAAATCTTCTCAGTATTCACTAGCCGTTGCTTGGTATCGGCTTTCAACGGCGGACGTTACTCTTCCTCTCGGTTCCTGAACTATCCCCGGCCTCAGCTACCAGCTTCTCACTTCTCACAACTGAACTCAGGGAGTCAGAATTACTTTACAACTAGCAGTTTACCGCCAATCAGTTCGTCTTGGTGACAGGCCCCTTGAGGCCCACGACTAGAGATCTTTTTTTGCAATTGAGCCCTTGTGGTCATAGTCCTTATGTGTGTCTTTTACGAATAGGCTTCGCCTATGTCAAGCGTACATATCGCACATATAGCATAGGTCTACATGGTTATGGGGAATGCCTCTCTTCCCAGGAAGCGGTCAGTCCGATAGAAGTGATACTTTGGAATGAAGCACCTCTCATGGGGTTTGAGATTTATCTCAGAGAAGAGCCACATCTATATATTAAGCCTTGCAGCTGTTTACTGAGATCACAGAGCCGCCTCCCAATGCCATTTACATCTCTCGTTGTCGGGGAAACGTGTCAACAGAGCTGTTCCCTAGCAATGGCTATTGTACTGTCGCCTTTTTACACAGCTGTTACTTGGTAATGGGTCTAAGTGTCACAATACTACCCCCATATACTCCTAAGTCTGTTTCGTCTCTTCCCATCAGGTTTCCAACCAAAATTATTTAGAAATTTCCTGCCTTGCGTGCTACATGCCCTTCCAGTCTTGCCCCCCTTCGAGTTTATCATGCTAATAATATTTTGGTGAAAAGTACAAATTATGAATCTCATCATTATGCAAACTTGTCTAGTCCTTTGTCACTTCCACCGGCTTAGGTCCATATATTCTCCACAACATCACTTAGGCACAAATATGCAGGTATCATATATACAGGGTGATTCATTCGGAGCAGATCCCGAATTAACTATTATAAATCATGCAAATAATTTACAGATTAGCACGAAACTTGGTGAGTACATACCTTCGTAGACGTGAGGAACGTAGGGTTGCAGAAGATGCTGAAACCGGTTGCCCTCCACGCAGAGACACAGGGCGACGTAACGCTCCATGTTCGCCAAGTCGCAGCCAGCATGACGGGAGGGACTGCAGCAATTGCACAAATGTCACGAACCGGGAAGGCAGGCACCTGGACAGTGTTTCAGAGTACAAAATTTCGTTCAGTTTCATTTTCACCTGCAAATCAGTTCATTGCTTAAAATTATTAACTAGGGGACACCTCCGAATTTCGAAAGATATCCTGAAAGTAAAGATACAAAGTCCAGAAAGTATTTGTAAAACATTTCTTTGGAGGGATTCACTTCTAGCACCTTTACAACAGAGCTTTATTTATTTTTCAACACAGTCACCATGGATCGTAATGCACTTAGTGAGCCTGGGAAAGTTTTTTTTTATTCCGGCGTCGTAGAAATCCACCGCCTGCTCTCTTAGACATGGAGAACACTTCTCGACACTTTTGGACATTGCTGATGAAGTTCATCGATGGTTAAACGTCTGTCAGCACGAATATTTTCATCGTTCTTTGGATGATTTCATCAGTGACAACGGATGGCCTTCATCATGAACATCACTCCTTCCCGCTTCAAATTGACGACACCATTTTGCCACGTTCTGCCTGTTCATAACATCTTCGCCGTAGGCAGAAACAGGCTGGTGATGAATTTAGCAGCAGTTTCTCCTTTCGCGTGAAGAAATCGAATTACCGCAAGAAGCTCACATTTAGTGGGATTTTGAATCGACACGGCCATTTTAAATACATACTGCGAGCACACCGTTGCCGTGACTGTGGCCGGTGATCTCAGCCCTGTCATACGGTTCCTATCTCACACGGCAGAACTGCCGTTTCTGGGGGCGGGAAATCCCTTGCATTTTTACTGTACTTGTATCTTTACTTTCCGGATATCTCTCATGTGTGTGTGTGTGTGTGTGTGTGTGTGTGTGTGTGTATATATATATAACCTGTAACTTGAAGGCATTATAATATTTCTGTTTACAATTACAAGGTGAGCGAAGTTACATTAAACAATTCTTTTATAAGTTTAATGCACAGTGCTTCTTTCCGCTTTATATTTCTACACAATATTAAGTCCGTATCTTTCTTAAAGTTTGGAATTTCATATACATTCTCCTCGTGGAGGCGGGTTCAAATACCTCCACCGTAGCCCTGAGAGTAGTAGGAGGCGACTAAAAGGGAACCCATTGCCTGGGGATATAACTGGGTCAAATTGTCAATAGGGGGCATAATTACAGAGACCTGGTCCTCCAGGTTGGGGGTTGGACACAGGGTTGACGACCTTTCTGTGTAAAAAAATATTTTTGCAAAATCCAAAGAAAGGAAAAAAGATGCAATCTCGCAAAATCTTCTGAGGAAGCCTGCGGCTCAAATGAGGGCTGTTTTACAAAGGATGATTATGCATACTGTTCTTTAACACTTTCAGATGGGCTTGTACGGCAATCCTATATTTTCTGAAGAAGGTGATTATCCTGAAATCGTGAAGACGAGGGTCGATAACATCAGCGAAGCTCAGGGTTTCAGGAGATCACGACTACCAAAATTCACCCAAGATGAGATTGAATACATCAGAGGTTTGTACTCAATTTTGCATGTTAGAGTATGTAATTCTCTCTCAATCTAAGAAACGTTTTAAAACTTCACATTAAGTTTAAGTTAATCTTTTCTTAACCCTTTGAAACATGAATATATACGAGAGAGAAAGAGAAGATGGGAGGATTAGTGAGAGCTGCTACATTTTACGAGACGAAACAGAAAATGCAGAGCTTGGAAGGTTCCCGAGCTGAACCCAGTCATCCTTGTGGTAGAGGTGGGTTGGACGTAAGTTTTGGGATGTGAAAAAAATAAAGCGTTGGAGGTAGGAGTAAATAAGGTAAAGCGTTGGGAAGTGAAGAAAGTAAAGCGTTGGGAGGTAAATAAGGTCAAGCGCTGGGAAGTGAAGAAGGTAAAGCGCTGGGAAGTGAAGAAGGTAAAGCGCTGAGAAGTAAAGAAGGTAAAGGATGAAGGATGGACTCATTCAGCCTGTATTTTTTTTCGTTCAATGAACTGTATTTATCTACCTACTTTCCGTTACGTGGGTGAAAACGTTAATGGCGTTTAGAGAAATAAGAAAGCCAAGCATAAACCAGGACTAAGGAAACAGCATGCACATCCACTTCCTCCTTTAAACTGGTTTGTTGCTATGGCTTACTCTCCGACCCTGGAAATGGAGGCAATATTCTCCTGCGAAACGTCTGTGACATTCATAGGACTACACAATGTTATATGCCAGGAAACACAGCTCTTCACTTTGTATGTCTAAAACACCGCTGGAATTGTGTCGCCTGTAGAACAGGCAACCTCATTGAAAAAAAAACAAAAAAAACTTGTGTTTAAGGAGATCTCAGGTATGGAGATTATGGCTCCAGCTGTAGGTTGAAAATATTACTAACTAATCAACTAACTTCATGGAGCTGAGCCCTTCTTGAAAAACCGCCAATTACACAGCTACTGAAGAACTTCCCAGCATTTTATGGAACCCGAAGGTTCATTACCGTGTTCACAAGAGTCCTCCAGTGGTCCCTATCCTAAACCAGATCAATCCAATCCATCCCATCCTATCTCTCTAAGATCCATTTTAACACTGTCCACCCACCTACGTCTTGGTCTTCCTAATTGTCTCTTTCCTTCCGGATTTCCCACCAGTATCATATATGAATTTCGCCTCTCCCCCATTCGTTCCACGTGCCCTGCCCATCTCATCCTCCTTGACTTGATTATTCTAATTACACTTGGCGAAGAGCACAAGCTATGAAGCTCCTCATTATGCATTTTTCTCCAACCTCCTGTCACTTCATCTCTCTTCGGTCCAAATATTCTCCTCAACACCCTGTTCTCAAACACCCTCTGTCTATGTTCCTCCCTTGGTCTCTAACATTAAGGGAGGAACATAGACTGAAGGAGTTTGAGAACAGGGTTGAAAATACATTCTGATAAATCTCCTATGATGACGTAACAGTCTCCTTCACCATCTGAACATAAGTCGGTATGAAAGATTTTTCAGAGACAGTGTAGCGAACACGTGAGAACCCTTAAATCTGACCACGCACTCCGTCTTTCATTGCAGGCACAGCTGACTTTTTCGGGTTGAACCACTACACAACGCAACTAGGAACGCCGTCTACTGTCATCGACAGTCAGCCATCTTACCGTAATGACATTGGAATACACACAGAGTATGACGAGAGCTGGCCCGAGTCAGCTTCTTCCTGGCTTCGTGTAAGTTTCAAACCTGTTCACATATTGTGTCCTCTGCAATCCATGAAGCAGCTAGCATATCAGAATGTCCCAGAATAAGACTGTGACATGACGCCTGAAAGCCAGAATGGTGGCGCCAGAGCCAGACGTCCGTTACCTCTTCACATATCAGTGTCTTGCAATCCATGAAGTGACTAGCATATCAGAATGTCTCATAATAATATTGTGACATGACGCCTGAAAGCCGGAATAGTGGAGCCAGAGCCAGACGTCCGTTGATGAGCAACGTCCAGCTAAATCACGTTTCTGCGGCATCGAATACGTTGGTATAAATCAAAGCGTTGCCTGGAGATTGTCATACGTTTAGTAGCAACGGAGTGGCTGGAAAAGACGACGAAAAATCTCAGAGTAGCTGATGTAGCGGCCGAGGCTCTAATTAAACAGGTCTCGAACGCGAATTCAGAACCTTACCATCATACCAAGCCGATCGTAGTGGTCCTGTGATCTAAGGCATGAACTGTCTTCGCTCGCTCGAACAGTGGCATCGTGGCATGGATGTCTCTGTCAGTTTATTCTGTGTGTATGTATCGGCCTTTCGAAGGGCTGATCCCTCTTCCAAGGAGTCCTACCAACTGCGTATATGATTAACAGACTGAAAAGGCGGCCAAGGTCCAACAAAGGGCTGTACAGCCATGGATTCATGGATGGATGGGTAGACAGATCACCGTATTAACCGTCCGGCCGTAAGCAATGGGATAAATAAGGTTAGGCGGAATGGCTTATATGTTATTTACTGACGGTGACTTCGTAGTTAATGAGCTATTTGAAGTAATTTGTTTTCCAGGATGTCCCATGGGGATTCCGCAAGATCCTAGTTAGTCTAAAACAGAGATATGGTAATCCCCCAATCATCATCACAGAAAATGGTTTCTCTGACCGTGAAGGACATGAAGATGACAGCCGAATCCACTACCACATTGTAAGTAGGCCCTAGGGTAAGGAGTTCATTTTAGCACAGAAATGTCCGGTAAGGCTGGAAGGAACAGATGCATATTCTGAGGCTTGTAACACGTTCTAATGCATACAAAACATACACCAGATGTGAACATGCTTATGAACATTATGCCAACAACGTAATACAAAGCATAATTCAATTCATTGTTGATAAAAAAGGTAAAGCTATTTGTGTAAGAAGCCATGGATGCCCATAGGTTTGTGAGACGTCGAGGCTACCACGTTTTCTAGACGATCGGCTCACAGATGGCGGTGAGGTTGTCAGCCTTACCCAATAAATTATCCCTGTAACAAGCCGTGGAGGCCCATAGGGTTGTGAGACGTCTAGGCTCACGGATGGAAGTGAGATCAGCCTTACGCCCCGGCCGTCCTTTTCCATCAGGAAGATTCCTGGTACTCATTTCAGAGGCTGAGTCGACCCCAGGGCCAGAGTGCGGTTGGAAGGATTAGGTCAATTGCAAATCTTGTTACCTCACAGTGAATCGAACCCGAGATATTTTGGCTTGTAGAATAGTGACTCAATCAATTATGCTACCACTTTAATCTGATGTATGATTGATTTCATTCTAACCTGAGACGTACTTGATTTCATTATAATATGAGGCATATTTCATTCAATTTTCAAGCTAGAATTTGATATGAAGAAAGCAGTCTTCTGGGATTTGGCACCGTGTATATGTGGTGTTAACCGACGTTTCGGAGGAACGTATCGCCTCCATCTTCAGGGTAGAAGAAAAAATATAAGAATTCTGCAAGCGGAGAGACCGTGAGAACCGGTAAAAGCAGACTGTTCCTCCGAAACGTCGGTTAACACCACATATACACGGTGCCAAATCCCAGAAGACTGCTTTCTTCATAGTCACCGCCGTGAAAGCCTCAAATCTTACATAGAATTTGATATGTTACACTCGATTCCACACTAAGCCTATAGTTTGATCCTAGTCATGCTGGATTCCACTGTAGGGCTACCTCACTGAGTTGCTGAAGGCGTTACATGAAGACGGTGTTAACGTGTTTGGATACACGGCATGGAGTCTGATGGATAACTTTGAGTGGAATCAGGGGTACACGTAAGTGCTGAAAACTGAGAACTTTCAATGATTATTCTTACATTCACTCTGCTATTATTTGGCGTAATTAGAAGTTCATAACAGCCCTGTACAATAAAGTACCAACAATTCCTCGTAGTAGAAGAGCTGTATAAATCGAAAACTTATTGAACGGCGTTCTACCAACTGCTCAATCAAACTTTCCGACATAGAAATCTTTGAAATTTGGTATTAAAGTTATTCCTCTAGCAAATCTTCTATTTCACTTAGCTGTTTCCTTCCACAGGGAGCGATTTGGGCTGCACTACGTCAATTTCACAGATCCGGAGCGACCGAGAACCATCAAAAAGTCGGGTAAAATATTCAAGGAGATTGTAGCCACAAGGGAGATCCCTGAGAGATTCCGAAAATAGAATGTCAATGAAAAGTGTTAAATTGTCTCTTATCGAATTATGTTTCGTCGCGTTTCACAGTATCAACAGAACATACAGGGTGTCCGGATGAAATGTATCCGAAATAAGAAATGTATATCTCGGAAACTGTCATACACGTATCCGGTTTATGTCATCGGAAAAGAAAACTCTGGATTTTTTTTCATATCCGGCTTGCGCGCATGCGCCGCCACATTTCTGCACCATGTTAGGAATCACCTGTACAGAGAGATGGCTGGGACATGAATTGGCAGAGGTGGACCAATCGCTTGGCCTCCTAGGTCGCCAAATTTAACCCCATTTAATTTTTTCTTGTGGTGTTATGTGAAGAACAGTGTCTACCAGGTTAAGATCAACGACCTGCAACACCTGAAAGCCCACATAAGGGACGCTGTTGCTGCGGTAACACCAAACAAGCTTCAAGCTTGGATATTTGCCGTGCCATCAAGGGCACGAAATTATGAATGTCACAGAAGCAGGAAAGCTTTGGTAGCTTCCCTTTGTAGAGGTGTAGCCCACAAGTGTGTATAAAAAAACTTTCTGAGATATAATTATTTTATTTTGGATAAATTTCATCCGGACATCCTGTATCTAGAAATGTCAATAACTCATATTACATCACCAATTTTTTACAAGATGGGCGACATGTTTCAACATATACAAGTCCTCAAATATTTGAACATATGAGTAAACTTCTATATCGCAGCAGAATATGCTTGTAGTTACGTATATAATTTTGCCCAATGATTCCATTGACCTGTCCTTTTAGAAAATGGTGAGAGAATATACGTTCTGTTATAGAATATTTTGTTTCTTGTTATAAGTGATGATTTGACGAAAGCATATCAAAAGTTGACTTTTTTTAAACTTTTGTCGTCATAATTTAACACATATTTAAAATCCTGTATCTAGGATTATAAAAATAAAGAGTTTGGTGTAAACGTGGGGGCAGTATGTTCTTACTTTTCACACAATTTTCCCTGACAAGCAATTAATTGTATCAGTGATAATATTTTATTAAATATCGTCACGTGTTCGACTATAGACGGGGCATTGATAACTGGATTTATTGCACACTCACAGATCGTAACTACAAGTAACTATATCGCTATTGCTAATTCAGCATGTATTAAGTCTTCTCAGTCTACCGTGTCTTCACCAGTCATTGCCTGGTAACGGCTACCAACGGCGAGCTATCTCCGTGCCTCAGGTACAAATTTATAACAGCAATGGCTCAGAATGACTGAACTTCAGTTCTATAACTCATTAACTTACCAACCAACACTTCACTTCCCTGCAATGCTCTCTCACTGTCTGTCCTACTTAAAACATTTCGGCATGAACAGCGAAGAAAATACCGTTCCTCTGTTGCTGTACCAATTGTTGCGTGCGTAACCATCGGTGCGGACCGCGCACAAAACACCGCTTTCCAGCCAGTCCATTGGTGCATGGTAGGAATGTGTTGCCTAGCAACGGGCCTGGTTTACAGAGTCATTACTTAGCAACGGATCTACATGCTACAATATTATCGTCACAGGCACACTGTATCTACATAACATCGCATCAAGAGCATAATTTAATTATGGTAATGAAATTTTCATTTTTAAAACGAATCTAAAGGATATATTTTCGTTTTAACTGGCATAGAACTGGTTATAATGACGGCATTTTCTTTTCAATGGTGTTGACAGAACCTTCGAATGTAAATACCGGGAAGTGACATACCATTGAGGGAGTTTTCCACGGGTTTTTGCTTATGTCTAAATAGATTATTACTTCAGACCCGGTCTTCCCATTTAAGCTGCAGGAATGGCTGACGTCGTGGGAACACATCCCATCATTAAGAGTTGATGAGATCACTCTGACACTTTTGAAATACATTTCCCGTACCGGAAGTCAAAGTTTTTACAACACAGCATAGGACCAGACAATTTCGAGAGTTGTGTATTATCACGTGAAATTATATTCCGTGACTAAGCAAAGCAAAAAGGTGACCAATGCTTTGAATTTATATAAGCACAAATTGAAACTAAAATTTACACAATAATAATAATAATAATAATAATAATAATAATAATAATAATAATAATAATAATAATATGGACAGCGAAAATTTACCGAAATGTATTTTTTACTTCGACCCCGAAAATGGAGGGAGCATGTAGTTCCGAAACGACAACACAAGGTCCAAATGCCCAAAGAACAGCATAAAAAGTTAAAAATGATATATTCTGGGTAAAGAAACTGTAATTTAGCAGGTAATTACCATTTATTCTGAGGAACGCGCTGCCTACATCTTCAGGGAAATATTTAAATTACAGACAGAAAATTGCTCTGGAATTACAAATCAAAATCTGAAGGCTACCACATTTTCACTGTTATGTCCGCGTTATCTACATAAATTTTAGTTCCTAAAAGTAAGGGTTAGAATTGGCGGCGCCACAGCTCAAGCGGTTAGTCGCTGGCTTTCCACCGCGACGGCCCAGGTTCGATCCCGGGTCTGGTCAAGTGGGATTTGTGGTGGACAAAGTGGCGCTGTGGCAGTTTTTCTCCGAGTACTCCGGTTTCCCCTGCCAATCTTCATTCACCAATTGCTCCACAATCACCCTCACCTATCATCTGGGGCTGGTACAATAGGCCACAAGTGGCCGCAGTACAAGGGACATAGTCCCATCCCACTAGCATTAAAAAAAAAGGGTTAGAATTTATGAGCGTGCCGTGGAAGAGGCAGTACGCTAAAATTGACATCGAAAAAGTCATATTGTCTTGCTTTAGTACAGCGGGTAATTAAGCAACAAACACTTCGACATCATCATCTTCGTCCTTGAGCACAAAGGTAAGTCACACAATTAGAATCTCAGGAGATATAAAAGAAATGAATGCAAGGAACGAATGTTGAGTCGTGCTAAAGAAAAGGAACCATGAAGGCGAACATCCAAGTGTTACTCCTTGTCACTTTGCTGGCAGGTGTATGGGGAAAAAACCCCTTCCTCAAACACAAAACTCCCCAATACAAGTTTCCTGCAGGATTTCCTTTTGGTGCTGCAACCGCCTCCTATCAGGTAGAGGGAGGCTGGAAGGAGGATGGTAAGTATCACTTCAAGTTCTGACACTATTTTTTATTGCTAGTGGGGTCGGACTAAGTCCGTTGTACTGCGGCCACTTCTGGCCTATTTTACCAGCAATTGTGGAGCAGTTGGTGGAATGAAGATTGACAGGGGAAACCGAAGTATTCGGATAAAACCCGACCCAAAGCCACTTTGTCCACCACAAATCCCACTTGACCAGGCCGGGGATCGAACCCGGGCCGCCACGGTGGGAAGCCAGCGACTAACCGCTTGAGGTATGGCGCGGCCTAAGTTCTCACACTAAATACGAACATTACTGTTTTCTGGTATGTGGCGCCGTACAGTCTAATAGATATTGGCATGTATTTTATTGTCGTGACAAATAACAACGGGTCCTGCATTGGATGATTTGATTTATTAACACAATCAACTCGTACTTACAAGTAATACAGAGCTATCACTGATTTACACGCACAGTCTTCATTAGTCGTATCTTGGTAACGGAATTAAAACAGTCTCATTGTGATTGAACCTTCTAATCACAGCCCAAGTCTTCACAGACTGACTTCTAATGCTTCAACTGTGAACTTCCCGTGGGTATCTCCTACCGGCAACTCAACTCAATTCTCATTCTCGGATTCTCTGTTGTACTCCGTTGTACTCCCATTATCTTACAACTTCTAAACTTCCAATTCCAATTCTCTACTTCCTTACCTAAAAACTGACTCTGGTTATATAGACTCAAGTAGGACCCCACAGAAGACACGTGTCACGTGTCGGAATGCGTGGAGCGGACTACATAGAGAACACATGTTCAGTTGGCCTTTATGACCACTAGGAACAGACCAGAGCAGAGCAGAGCAGAAAAAACAGCCTCCCTATTATTGTGTGACGTCAAGCCGTACACGAGAATGTGTTTATCGTACGTTTCATAGCAACGGTCCGACCGCGGTTCACAGAAAACACTGCTCCTGTATTGTTGGCCGTGTGTGTTTTGCGGGCGTTGCCTAACAATTGGTCTATGCGTCATAAGACGATACATTTCGGAGGAAATTGCTACCTTCATGTTAAGAAAAATTTGTTTCTAATACTCTCATGTCGAAATTTCAGCATGGGTTTTATACAAATATAGCACATACAACCAGAGTTCTATATATAAATTCAATGGTTATTTAACGACACTGTCAATATCGAGAATACACAGCGTTTGAATGATAAGATGATTAATGTCTCTGGAGCAACTGATGGAATGAGAATAGTGGGGGGGGGGGACCGAAGTACTAGAAAGGAAAGAACATACCTCAGTGCCACTTTATCCACCACAAATCCCATAGGATCTGACCTGGTATCGAACATGGGTCAACGTGGTGGGAAGCCATCCACTAACCGTCTATGCATTGGGGCAGCCATTTCAATTATATTCTTATTTATTTACGTGCTAACAGCCCAAAGGCCAATTACAAAATGAGCACGAGTAATTAAAAAAGAAAACAAAACAGACAAATGAAGTGAAACCACGGAAATTTGTTACCGTCGGAAAAAAATAAGTAAAATATATGCATTCAAAATATATAGTTAGTATTTTAATTTCATGTATAGTTATCATGACAAATTATTCAGTTTCTCTGTGTGATTGGTACAGATGAAATTACGTAACAAATTTGCGTTAATTTGCCAGGGATGCTGAGTGTGTTGTAGCATGACGTACACATGACACTCATCTCAGTCGAGTTACGTAAATTTATTAGAGCATATAAAAAGGAAATATTGTTGGGGGCATATGAAAATGAATTATTGACACTGTGAAGTGAGGTACATTCAAAAGAGGAATGAGATGGTCTTTCAATGCGACTATCTCATCGTCCTGATGGCTCTATTTGCGGCCGAGACTCACACAAAGAGCCCCTCTTTTGGTCATTATGAACTTCCTAACTTTTTTACTTTCGGCGTAGCCACCGCCTCGTTGCAGATCGAGGGAGGATGGAATTCAGATGGTAAGATAACATATCCGCATATGATACCACCTTGCTGAGTTTATTTAAACATTTAAAGCACACTGGTTACAATATGAACCACCTTCCACACTAAAACAAATGTTTCTTTGCCTACACAGTGTATTTATGAGTCTCCTACTATTCTGAGAGCAAACAGTGATTATTTACATTTATATTATATTATTTATGGAGGCAAGCGGTAGCGTAGTTGGTTGTGGCACTATGCTTCAAGCCGGAAAGGTCGCGGTTTCGATTCCAAATGAGGTAACTGGACCTTTCAATTGATCTGATCCTTCCAGCCGTACTATGGCCCTGGGATTGACTCAGCCTCTAACGGAAATGAGTACCAGGAACCTTCCTGGGGGGTAAAGTGCGGCAGGCGCGTACGGCTGACAACCTCACAGCCGTCTGTGAGCCGACCGTCTAGAAACTTTGGATGGCTCGACGTCTCGCAACCTTACGGGCCTTCACGGTTTCTTGCAGGGGTAGCTTTATCTTTCTGCCTACCTACATTATTAAATTTTCCATTTATTTGCTTCCTAAGTTTGTTTTGCCTTTTAGGGTTACTTTTTGCTCCATTAATCGGGATGGTCTCTCTCCGCAGTTAATCCGGATTGGCTAGGATTTGCTGCACTCTCCCTTATGTGTTAGATTGGCTAGGATTTGCTGCACTCTCCCTTATGTGTTAGATTGGCTAGGATTTGCTGCACTCTCCCTTATGTTTTAGACTGGCTAGGATTTGCTGCGCTCTCCCTTATGTTTTAGACTGGCTAGGATTTGCTGCGCTCTCCCTTATGTTTTAGACTGGCTAGGATTTGCTGCACTCTCCCTTATGTGTTAGATTGGCTAGGATTTGCTGCACTCTCCCTTATATTTTAGAAAGCAACCAGAAAGCTGAAGGATCTGACACGAATGTTTATACATTTTAGGAAAAGGCGTCAACATCTGGGACACACTGACACACGATCGCCCTTACTTGGTGGAAAATCAGGATAATGGAGACGTAGCCTGCGACTCATATCATAAGTACAAGGAAGATGTACAGCTGCTCAAGGATTTGGGGGTGAGTACGCTGACCATTGTGCCGCTGTTTAAATAACTACCTTGAAGATGGAAGCAGAATATTACTATGAAACACCAGCACCCATTTACAAGATCAGAAAGTCTCAAAATCCAGACAACCACAATATGAATCTTCATCTGCAGTAAAAGCCACAAATCTGAAAACTACTTTTTCGTATCAACATCAAGAGAGCAAGTTACAGCTAGCTGTAAGGTTTCTCGCCCATTTAGGGAGATACCCAGTTCGAATACCAGTCCGGACACAGACGCTCCTGACCGCGGTGTCCGTGGTTTTCCACAGTCCCTCCACGCAAACGTGGGGACATTACCTGAAATTACGCGACAGCCACTTCCTCCCACATCCCTGTCAGTTCATTATGAACTGCAACCCGATTATTCTTGCTATACAGTCTGAGTTACTTAAACTCCGTGGCCTGTAGTCCGCAAGCGAACTGTACCGACCGAGCCACCGCCGCTTGTCAGCGAAGTTAGTGCCAACTTTAGCGGGTAGAGGGTATCACGTGGTCAGCGCAACGGATCCCAACGGCCGTTAATCTCGGTTTTCTACACCGGAGCCGCTATTTCCTTGAAATAGCTCCTCAATTATCCTCATGAGGCTGAGTGGATCCCGTTCCAGACCCATTACTTCTCAGAAAATCTTGAAGCACCAGAAATCGAACCTGGGACCCCTGGGTCTGTAGCCAGGAATTCTGGCCATTAGACCACTGAGGCAGTCCTGAGTTACTTAAAGCCTCTTTAAATAGGATTCAAAGAATTCAATCTTAAAATAAAAATATGTATTTCGTATTTCAGTCAACACAACAATTTATAAAATACAGGTAGTATACAGACGATCTATTTACATGAAGGTAGTATATGTGAGGCACATGTTTCGACTCCTAATGGGCCATTATCAGGTTCTGATAAGCACTGAAGGTATACCAAATGTTGATCCATATTGTAGGGGTGTTCTTCGTTTCGAAATTGGTCTTGTTATAAAATCCCGAAAGTTAAAATTAGAATTGATTAAAACTATTATTTTAAATTATTAAAATAAAATTTAAGATATATGTAAGTATATATAAAAATCGTACTATGTAAGTAGTGATAAAACGGAACAGAAGTGCAGAGCAGGGAAAACAGGACAGGATAACAGTGACACAGTCCACGAGATTTCCGGGCACACTAAGGGAGAGTCAGTAAATAGGTCATAAATGGAAGTAAAACAGCTGTAATGAAAATAATAGTTTTCTATGTATATCACTAGGTAGCAGCACAGTCCAGCTTCATGAAGTAGCAGACGCACATGCGCATGTTCAGAAGCTGGTTTCAGTAGTCAGATTGGCGACCGTAATTGATTAATGTACCACCGAAGAGCAGCGTTCTGTTGTGTATTTTTGTAGGCAACAGGACTCAATGCAAAGGATATTCATAAAGTAATTATTCCTGTTTACGGTGGGAAGTGTTTGTCGCGTAAAGCGGTTCATAACTGGGTGCCAGACGTTTTGCTGATGAAGGAGTTGAAGGTAGGTGAGGAAGTGGCTAAGTCAGTAGTCGAAAGACTTCTATGTGGGTTTCGAAGCAGTGATAAAGTGATGGGACAAGTGTAAAGACATTGATGGCGGACATGTTGAGAAACGTTTCTCTCCAGTTACGAATATCGCATGTTCTAGGTTTTATATCAATTTGCGACCTATTTACAGACTCACCCTCATATAACATACTAATATCCGGAAAATTTTGACGTCTGGCAACCCTTTGGTCCCCGGTGGTGTCAGAAATCGCATATTTTACAGCAGACTGCATAGTAAACTAGACCGAAGACAAATAAGAAATCATTAGGAAATAAAATAAAATGTATAACTCTCCTCAGGCAGACTTCTACCGCTTCTCCATATCTTGGGCCCGTGTTCTCCCAGAGGGACACGATAATATAGTGAACCAGGCCGGCATTGACTACTATAACAACCTCATAAACGAGCTGTTAGCCAACGGGATAGAACCAATGGTAAGTACCACTGAACATCGCAATAACATTACCTACTGAGGCGCCGGGATAGCTCAGTCGGTATGGCGACTACCGTCTATCCGCTTCAGCAATCTCTGCTGTGGAAAGAACTCTAGGTACGGTTGGAAACCTATCGACTCTTAGCGCCGTATTCGGTCTACGGACATTAACAAATAATGCTGAATTTGAGGTTCCGTGGAGTGCACAAACTATAATTTTGCCTGTGGTTCTGTATGGGTGTGAAACTTGGTCGCTGACATTAAGGGAGGAACATAGACTGAGGGTGTTTGAGAACAGGCTGTTGAGAATATTTGGACCGTAGAGGAATGAAGTGGCAGGAGGTCGGAGAAAACTGCATAATGAGGAGCTTCATAACTTGTACTCTTCTCCAAGTATAATTAGAATGATCAAGTCAAGGAGGATGAGGTGGGCAGGGCATGTAGCACGAATGGAGGAGACGAGGAATGCATATAGGATATTGGTGGGAAAGCCAGAAGGAAAGAGACCACTGGGAAGACCAAGGCGTAGGTGAGTGAACAATATTAAAATGGATATTAGAGATACAGAATGGGGTGACATGGACTGGATCAATCTGGCTCATGATATGTATCAGTGGAGGGTTCTTGTGAACACGGTAATGAACCTTCGGGTTCCATAAAATGTTGAGTTCTTCAGTAGCTACAGAATTGGCGGCTCCTTAAGATGGGCTCAGCTCCATGAAGTTAATTTTAAATTGGTTGATCTGTTCGTTTTCAATTCATTCTCTTTTTTTAAATTACAAAATATATCATGAAAATGAATTAAATGTATCACAATTTCTTCGGGACAAACATTTTTACTTTCATTATATTACAGGTAACAATGTATCACTGGGATCTTCCTCAGGCGCTCCAAGACTTGGGAGGATGGCCGAATATGCAATTAGCAAAATATTTTGAGGCTTACGCTCGTATATTGTTCACTCACTTTGGAGACAGGGTAAGTTCATCTTACATATTTATTTAGAATGAACTCAAATGAATGGTAAACCTTGATGTAGAACTCAAGACATGCGCAAATAAAACCACACTACCTAACAGCACAAACAATAACACTCTCCTTTTTCATGAAGACGCATGCGCCTAGGCACAGTACTTAGCATATAGTCGAGCAGTGATTCTACCCACTTCCATGGCTTAGCACATAACGTATTCTATCCCTGCAAGCTACATTATGCATATAGCTCACTGCAAGCAAAAGCTTTTTCAATACAGGATACATTTTGTTTTATCTTTCGTCAGTCTCCGTGGTCTAGTGGTCAGAGTTCCTGGCTACAGATCCAGAGGTCCCGATTCTATTTCCGGCCAACCAGATTTTATGAGTAGTGGTGGGTCTGGAACGTGGTTCACTCAGCCTCGTGAGGATAATTGAGGAGCTATTTCAAGGAAATAGCGGCTCCGGTCTAGAAAACGGAAATTAACGGCAGTGGGGATTCGTTGCACTGACCACGTGACACCCTCTATCTGTAAAAGTTGACACTAACTTCGCCGACAAGCGGCGGTCGCTCGGTCGGTATAGTTCGCTTGCGGACTACAGGCCACGGAGTTTTTCTTCTGTTTTGGTCGTATGGTGGTGCGTTACGAGTCACACCGGTGCATTCCCTACTGACATATATATAATCTTGAATAAAATTCGCCTACCTCAGCTTTCGTCGCAATATTTTCAACTGTTACGTTTTAGCACCCGTTAAAATTCACGGGAAGTCTCACGCACATATGTAAATAACATAAGCCGAAGTCCACGGATGTTTTCAGGTTAAACTATGGATCACGTTCAACGAACCCCTGACTTTCGTGTCAGGATATGCATCTGAGAAGGGATTCGCTCCAGCAATCAACACACCTGGTATCGGTGACTACCTTGCGGCACATACTGTGATCCACGCTCACGCCAGAGTCTATCATTTGTATGATCAGGTGTTCAGAAGCAGACAACGAGGTATTGCTTGATTAATGATAACCGTTTGTTTAGATGAAACTTCCAAAATATTCACAGTCCTCTAGTGGGCAAATTACTGCATAACATTTGGAATTACTGTTTCTGGTTTTCGTCTCATCGCTTAGTATTCTGATAGAACAGGACGCTTCAAATACAGAATATGTTTGCGTCCTAATGCGAGGAGACACCTATTCAGTTTGTCCGTTAGATGGGATGATTTCGATTAGCACTTTTTAACTGACCAATCTAAATAGGCACAATTCATCTCATGATGAAAGGAGATCCAGTTTCTGAAATATTTGGAGTTACTCTTTCTGGTTTCGAATAGCGGAAGATGGATAAAGTAAACTTTATGATATTCAAACTGCACACTAAACACTGTCGAATTGTGGCGCGCAAACAAACTAAGCTAGCCACATGCGGTTTGCGGTAGATCATAGTGAAACTCTGGAAGTTTCTTAGTGACCTCAGTAGACCTCGATGTGGGCTCCTCTGGTAGCACAGAGAACGTCCAGACGATATTCGAGCTTTTGCCATGTTCTGTGGAGCATGTCCGCTGGAATAGCCGGGATCGCATTCCTGTTAGGGTCTTCAGGTCATCAAGTCCGTTAACTGGTGTTCGCAACACACTGCTCCACCTCTCTCAGGCCTGCAGGTACGCGCGTTCCTAGACAGGATATTTCCAGGAAGACGGATCGACAGAGACGGTCCAATGTCTTGGCCTCCAAGTTCACCAGACATAACACCACTGGATTCTTTCCTGTGGGGTTATGTCAAGAGCAGTGCGTTCCGAACACCAGTTAACGGACTTCATGACCTGAAGACCCGTATCAGGAATGCCATCTCAGCTATTCCAGCGGACATGCTCCACAGAACATGGCAAGAGCTTGAATATCGTCTGGACGTTCTCCGCGCTACCAAGGGAGGCCACATCGAGGTCTACTGAGGTCAATAAAAAACTTCCAGAGTTTCACTATGATCTGCCGCAAACCGCACGTGGCTAGCTCAATTTGTTTGCGCGCCACAATTTTTCAAAACCCCGACGGGACTTTGTGGACATACTGTATATCTACATTTATCGAAAAGTGGCGCCTCTCATCGGCGTTTCCGCGAACTAGTTGCAACTAACGCGGAAATAACGTTATATTGTCTTTTTTGTAAGAGAGAGAAAAGTTGTGTGTGTTCAAAGAGATCTACGATATAGCGAATTTGATAAATGCAATATATTTAAACTAGAATATAATAATTTTGCTAATGCTCACGTAAGGCTCTAGGTCACTATCTGATGATACAAGTTCAAAGATGTTTTAGAGTCTGTCATTTGTGATAACGTGATGTGCATTTCTATGCGCAGGTAAGGTTGGTATAGCACTTAATATCAACTGGTGCGAGCCACTGACGAACTCTACAGAGGATATTGCAGCTTGCGAGCGGTACCAACAGTTCAATGTAAGTAACACTGTGAACGAAAACTGTTTTATTATCAAGAGGCTGAAAATACGCCGCATCTGAACTGAAACAATCCCTTTTTCTTTCCCCCTGTCTAAGGATACCGGCCAGTTAACCTTTAGCGTTCGAAGCGCACCTATCGGTACAGTGATCAGTATGGTCGACGTGGCCGAAGTACACCGATTTCAGTCAGGCCTTTAAACTCTGCTAGCGGAAGCGCGCGCACGATCCGCTAGTAAAAGCTTATGGACAATCCTAAATATTTATTTTTAAATATAGTAAAACTCAATTTACATACATTTTTCCATTGTTATCTGCTCCGACTTCTACACATTCATCATCTACCATTCTGGGGCTGGCACAGTAGGCCAAACAGTAGCCGACGTACCAAGTGGACTCAGTCTCACCCCACCTCAGGAACATATCATTATGAAGGAATTTGTTATACTAGTTAACATTAATTCAGTTATTAATCTTCAACTCCTCAGCTGGGAATCTACGCTCATCCTATCTTCAGTACTGAGGGTGATTACCCCGCTGTAGTGAAAGAGAGGATATCTAGAAACAGTGCCGCTCAGGGTTACACTACGTCAAGGCTGCCAACCTTCAGTCCAGAAGAAGTGGAGTACATTCGGGGTAAGCACTTCGAGCCACTGCTATATACGGTACGTCATGGTTTTTATGTTCGGGTACCGATATTTGCGTCGAATTGGTAGCGTTCCTGCATCCTATTTTGGATATCCTAGCTTCGAATCTGGGCACGGAGAAATCATACGCTCAGTTGTTACATTCCCTTCACGTAAACACCGATATAATGCATTAAAGCAAGGCCGTGCCGCAGCTCAGGCGGTTAGTCGCTGGCTTCCCACCGCGGAGGCACGGATCTCGTCATATGGGATTTGTGGCGGACAAAGTGGCACTTGGGCAGGTTTTCTGTGAGTACTTGGGGTTCCCCTGCCAATCTTCATTCCACCAATCGCTCCACAATCACCATTATCTATCATCTGGGACTGGTACAGTAGTGGACGCAGTCTCGCCCCACTAATAATAATAAAAAACAATAAAAATGCATCAAAGTAGGTAATGATCGCTTCCTTACATACCGGGTTAGTGATTCACTCATAATATTCATATTCAATCCTGTACATTTCTCTGTTAAGCTGTTAGAATCATTTCCGATTAATATTTGGCAACTTAGGCTCGAGATACTAGCAAACACATACGCAGAGGCAAGGTAAAATTGTCCCTGTGATTAAATAACAAACCACTATGCAATGAAGATATATGGCGGAGTGGATGTACAGATCCATGTATTCTTGACCTCGGCACTAGCTGGAGGTGTGTTCAGGTTCCCGTCTAGGCCGCATTAATACACGTACCCATTGGGTGTGACCCAGAACTTGCCTGGAGTACGTGGAGAAAAAAATCTTGCCCCCTACCGGGACTCGATATCCGAACTCTCGGCCATCCAGCCCTTTACCAATCCGTCGCAGATAATCATGCAAAATTGTCCATTATTCTGGTCCGATTTTAATTAAAATTGAAATACACAGAAAAGTTTTAGTAAAATTTCCCTAGTATCAAATTTGATTAAAATCCTATCAGCGTTTGTCTAATTGTTTATTCGTAAAGACGGAAGGATTGGAAACCGGAGAGATTCTAATAGGTGCTCGCAGAATTGTCAATAATCGTGAACATCCATAGTAATATCTGTCATACCTGCGACATGGGAAATATTATATTTAGCGTTCTCATGACAGGAACCTCAGACTTCTTCGGATTGAACTTCTACACTGCCTACTACGGAAAAGAAGGAGAAGAAGGCAATATTCCTTCACTGGGCAGAGATTCTGGACTCATCACAAGACAAGATTCTAATTGGATCTCATCTGCTTCTACGTGGCTTAAGGCAGGTACAGATCTACGTAATTATGTAGCAATAAAAATATTACTGCCTCCTGTAATTTCCTATCATAATTTGAGCCTATTTTCCTTATTTTCAAAAAGAAATAAAAGTAGGCTCACGAGATCACCTTGCTGCTTGTGTGTACCCTGCTTTAAAACTGTCGAATGCCTGCTCGAGACGAGCAGCCGTAAGGAGGGAGCAGTTTGAGAACAGCAAGGCGGAACCCAACCCACGAGGAACGATAGCTGAACGTCATCAAAAGAGGGGGAAGAAACGTCAACACCAGTGTGACTTTGTGATGCCATTTGCTAACGCAATCATAGACGTCACAAGAACGCCCCTACGGAGCACGTCCTGAATATGATATCCGAAATTTACTGCTAAGCTAAACTCCTTGATGTGTTTCTTTGATCCTGTATATATTCATCGGAACTTTTACTTGACCTAATCCTTCCAGCTGCACTATGGCCCTCTGGTCGACTCAACCTTTAACAGTAATGACTACGAGGAATGTTCTTGGAATATTCTTGGGGGTTAAGGGCGGCCGTCGCGTAAGGCTGACCTTATCGCCATCTATGAGCTGACTGTCTAAAAAATGAATGAGTCCCGACGTTTCACAACCCTATGGGCCTCCACAGCCTGTCACACAGATAGCTTTTTTATTCTGTATATACATATTGGCTGCCTAATGTGTACAGGTTGTCCCGTGGGGATTTCGTAAGGAATTCAATTGGATCAAGAACGAATACAATAACCCTCAAGTGTTCGTCACAGAAAACGGTTTCTCGGACCTCGGGGAGCTCAATGACACAGGCAGAGTATATTTCTACACTGTGAGTATATACAGAGAGTTCTAGAATAATTTTATCACCTTACTTGTACATAACGTATATATGCAAATAAACCAATATAATACATATACTTTGAGAACTGACATTTCATTATTTCAAATTCCTTATTTTCTGCAATTTCTTTCGTTGTCCGGTAATTACGTGGTTGTTTTTCACTGTCACATTAAACTGGTTTATTTTTTCACAACATCCATTAATCATGAACATGCCGTGGAAATAAAACCTCCCAAAAATAATACGGAGAGGAAACCAACAAAATTCTACATCGAGACAATGGGATACAAGAAAGTTTTAACCTTCAACAATAACATTTGGATTTTAACTTCTAAAGCCAATTTTTAATAAATTCAAATATTAAATTTAAAAATTAATTACGCTTCTCTCGCCAAGAGCAAAATACTGTGAGGCATTTTACATCAAGTAATTAGTATACCTCATGACGGCCATGTGAGGCCGAAACACTCGGCGAACAAATAAGTGAATCTAACAAGACATTAAAGAACAATCACACAACAACCTATCATTATCAAAACTTGTATAAAAACAATAAATTTTATATAATATAATTAATTAATCGCTGACACAAAATGCTGAAATATATTGTGTTACGTATGTATTTGACAATGATGGACCATGTATAAAATATATATGTAAATTTGTAAATATTAATTGACGGTGACATTTAAGGAGGGCCAAATCCCCACACAATAGCTTTATATGTCCGGACAAAAAATACCTGGTCATTAGCCCCAAATGGGGCTCTACACCAAGCCTGAGTAACTAATCGGCAATTGTAAGGTCGGTTTGGCTTTGTTATCATGTTATGTCTCTTTCAATGTCATCTTCTCATGCTGAAGGTCATGGTTAGGCGCAAATGACCCACAATGAAAAAGTTTGACAACATGCCTGCACAGGACTCAGTTATTGCCAGTTCGTGACGTAAAGCATTACGTCATATTTATAAGGTTACTAGATTCTAATTTCAAGACACTGCCAATACTCATACGCCACTAGGGACTTCAGATATACACAATCTACTTCCTCAAGTTTCCCTACGCAAATTATGATGTGCCCTGGCTCGCAGAGTAGTGTTCTGCTGTAAGGAGCTCAGTCAGTATAACGTCGGGCTACAGGTTGGACGGACCGGGTTCGATTCCCGTCAGTGCTATACTTTTATCCACAGCGGCCGGAGTGGCTCTATTTCTTGGGTGTTCAAACGATCGTGACGTGAAGCTGACCACTCGCCTCCATTTAACACAGAGGTAAAAAGAGGTGGAGCTATACCTCCACTCCTCCATGTCTTCGTGGAAATATGCATAAGTAATTACGCAGAGGGACAAATTTACATTTTAGTTTTCTGATGTGAACGTGTTTAAATGAAGGTTCAGAGTATAAAACATGTGGAAGCATTGTTCCCGGACAACTAGTGTAATTAGCATCTCTCATTTTAAACTTCTAAGCTCTATTTTAACTGAATACTCACGGCATAATATTCGAATGAATGAATGAATGAATGAACGAGGGGTAGGTCTTGACCAGCCATTCTATCACGACCATGACTGATCTACTGTCGTACAGAGGCGTCTTGATAATCACCAGGCTCCGTAAAGCAGTGGCCCAGGTGACGAAATCTTACGTAAGCTGTGGCCTCACAATCACCTTGGAAATATGTGGCTGATTCATCTTTACCCAGGCGCCTTTCGCAAGTAGGATTATCTGTCAATCCCATTTTCAAGAGACGTCCTTTCAGGTGACTGTGTCCTGTAAGTAGTTCTGTTGAGGCCGCGCCATAGCTCAAGCGGTTAGTCGCTGGCTTCCCAACCGCGGCGGCCCGGGTTCGATCCCGGGTCTGGTCAAGTGGGATTTGTGGTGGACAAAGTGGCGCTGGGGCGGGTTTTCTCAGAGTACTTCGGTTTCCCCTGCCAATCTTCATTCCACCAAATTTTCCATCATCATAATCACTCGGGGCAGGCTACAATAGACCAATCAGTGGCCGCCGTGCCGAGTGGACCCAGTTGGACCCCACCCCGCCACTAAGCGAATTAAAAAGTAGTACTGTCACCCATCGTTAACTGGTTTCTGTTTAATTTCAGGACTTCCTTCGTTCTTTCGACATAGGGTCCTTGTAGGAATCCTTTGCCTGTTTGGGCCCTGTTAAGGACTCCCAGTGTTTTTTAAGGTCTCTGTCCAGTCCTTGGCATCACCTACTACGGAGGAAAATCCCGTATGTTCAACGTGAATTTTCTCCCCATCAAAACAAACTCCGGGGCCTGTAGTCCGCAAGCGAACTATACGGACCGAGCCACCGCCGCTAGTCGGCGAATTTAGTGCTAATTTTAGTGGATAGAGGGTGTCGCGTGGTCAGCGCAACGAATCCCCACGGCCATTAATTTCGGTTTTCTAGACCGGAGCCGCTATTTCCTTGAAATAGCTCCTCAATTATCCTCACGAGGCTGAGTGGACCTCGTTCCAGACACACTACTTCTCAGAAAAACTGGTAGCGCCGGGAATCGAACCCGAACCTCTGGATCTGTAGCCAGGAACTCTGACCACTAGAGCACAGGGGCGGTCATTTGGTCCCCATCGATGGTGTGTTCATCGTCTGGTAATTTCCTTGGTCCTTCTGGCAGAGGGTCCTTGTATGAAACCCTCTGCATATTTCAGTCCTGTTAAGTACTCCCAATATTTTTATGTTGTTGTCAATGCATAATATGTAACTTTAACTTTAAACCACACAGAAATTGAAGGATTTCTTCGACATTTTGGAGAAAAATACATTTGCACTGTTGAGAGTAAATGTCTTGAGGGTGGAGGAGTGTTCTGGAAACATGCCATTTCCCCGTGAGCACTGCAATTTGCAGAAATATTGCCCATATTTTCTGAGGTAACTCTCACTGCCATCTGTGAGCTGATTGTCTAGAAAATGTGGCAAGCCTCGACGTCTCACAACCCTATGCGCCTCCACGGCCCCTTTCGGTGATATCTTTACCTTTACTTTCAGACTTATCTGACTGAGATGCTGAAGGCAATTCACGAGGACGGTTGCAATGTAATTGGATACGCTGCCTGGAGCCTAATGGATAATTTCGAGTGGAACAGAGGATACGCGTAAGTATCTACCCTTCATTCTGTTGCCTCTAAGTTGACTTGTAATAAATAGAAAGAAAAGTATAACGAAAATTTTTAAGAATTAAGAGTGTCTCGAGCTATTATATAAAATATATATAAAGTAATCCCATCCAATTTACATCACTCCCATTGGCTCGCTCTTATCTCTAGTCCTTGTCCTACCTTTCCTGTATCAAGCCCGTTTTATCCCGCACAGCCTACTCTTCACTCCTGAAGATGTAGGCGAATGATTCCTCCGAAACATCGGTAAATATCTATTAGACTATACGGTATCACATCACAGAAAAGAGTAATTTTTATAGTTATTCCCGTAAGAAACCCAGCTAACTGACTAATTAACCCCATGGAGCTAAGTCCTTGTAAAGCTTCTAGTTGCCTAGCTACATAAGGGTTTCCGAAATGTTTCATGGAACCCGAAGATTCATTGCTGTGTTCACAAGAGGCCGCCACTGGTCCCCACCTTGAGCCAGCTTAATCAAGTCCATACCACCCCATACTATTTCTCTAACATTCATTTTAATATCATTCTCCCACCTACGTCTAACACTTCGTGGTAGTCTCCTTCCTTCTGGCTTTCCCACCAAAACCCTATATGCCTTCCTCTTCTCCCCATTCATGCTACATGCCCTACCTCTCTCTTCCTTCTTAATTTCATCGTTCTAATTATATCTGGAGAAGAGTGCAAATTATGAAGTTCATTATGCAATTTTCTAGTCTCCTATTATTTCATCCCTCTTGGGTGCAAATATTCTCCTCAGCACCCTGTTCTCAAACACCGTGCCCCTCAGTTCTCATGTTTCAGTAAAATATATTCTACTTA